ACTCCAAAGCTGCCACAAGGGTGTCCAGTGTGGCCCTGGCTTATCCAAGGAGCTTTCTAGAACCTGAGTTGCTGATGACCAAACTGCATTGCTGTGGGTAAGAAAATGAGGACGAATAGGAAGGATGGCAGTGGGCGCAGGAAGGCCATTTCGTCTCCCTCTACATCGGGTGAAGACTACCCTAGGTCAGGAGAAACCTACAGACCCCCAGGGGAACCGTACAGGAGGAAAGACCTGGGTGGGGAGCGGAAGGAGGCATCAGAACTGCCAGGAGTCCACGTCCCAGAGGGCAGCAGGGCTGAGGGAGCGGTATTCAAATCTAAGTAAGGTCCCAGGCTGCCTCAGTGGTCTCGGGCAAGTCATTTAGTCTCTGGGGGCCCTTTACCTGTCTCGGATTTGGGTCCTGCCCACCTCTCAGGTTTGTAGCGAGCCTCAATGTCGTCATGGAGAAATGTCCAGGAAAACAGCAGATGAGCTCCAAATAGTGAGCAGGGCCCCCTGGCGGTGTTTCAGAGATCACCTTTCATCTGGACTAGGTGCCTGGGGTTCCCTCATCCACCACCGGACACCTCAAAGGGCAGCCTAGGAGGCTCAGAAAACAAAGGTACCTCTTCAGGTAAGCTGCATAGAAGACGTGAATTCTGCCGGGCAGAACATTTGCTCCGTCTTGCGGCCTGCGGAGGCCCTATTCTTTGGGAGCAAAAGGGACCCGGGGTCTCACCTACACATCCCTGTGCCCCATGGGGGCGCAGCCTTGGTGAAATGAGGAAGAAGTTGAAGATTTCCTGGGGGGCCCTGCCCTTCTCTTTCTTCTACCATCCCCCCTTCCTGCCCACACCTTTTTCCTCCCTCCACCCCAATTTCACCATTATCTGATAAAAGTCACAATAAAAATTCCATGTTAGCTTGTTTCCGAGCTTGTAATTTATTAAAAGACTGCAAGTATCCATCAAAGGATAAATGGGTAAACACAATGTGTTATGTCCGTACAACGGAATCTTATTAAGGAATAAAGCCCCAGCGCGAGCCACAACATGAAGGAGTCCTGAAAACATTAGGCTAAGTGGAAGAAACCTGTCACAAAAAGGCCACATATTAAATGATTTCAGTTATCTGAAATATCCAACAAGGGGGTAATCCATGGAGACAGAAAGCAGATTGGTGCCTGGCAGGGGGGTGGGGGTAGGAGGTTCAAGAGAAACCGCTTCATGGGCACAGGGTTTCTTTTTGGGGTGATGAAAATGTTTCCAAGCTAGTAAGAGATGATGGTTGCACAACACTGTGAATGTACTAAATGCCACTGGATTGTTCACTTTAAAATGGTTAATTTTGGGGGTGCCTGGGTGGCTCAGTCGGTTCAGCATCTGACTTCGGCTCAGGTCATGATCTTGTGGTTCGTGAGCTCAAGCCCTGCGTCGGGCTCTGTGCTGACAGCTCAGAGCCTGGAGCCTGCTTTGGATTCTGTGTGTGTGTGTGTGTGTGTGTGTGTCTCTCTGTCCCTCCCCCGCTTGCATTCTGTTTCTCTCTCTGTTAAAAATAAACATTAAAAAAATTAAAAAAAAATATATATATATATAAAATGGTTAATTTTCGGTTGTGTGACTTTCTCCTCAATCAAAAGAAAAAAGGAAAAAAAGACTGAGTAACCACAGCCCTGATTGGATTCAGGGATTCTGGGATTCTCTTTCTCCTTCTCTTGCTGCGCCTCCCTCTCTCTCTCTCAAAATAAATCAACTTAAAAAAAAAAAAGTGGCCCTTTTTCGTTTCCAGGTTTAACTCAACTTTTGTGCCTTTCCTACAATTTCTTCCCTACCTCCCACCCCACTGCCCTTAAGTCACTGCCGGGGAAAACAGGAGGTAGGAAATGAGGGCGGGGGTGGTGGGGTGGTGGGAATTGGTTGATTTAGAAGAATAAGAAAGCAGAGTGCAGCCTTAAGAAAACAGCTCCCAGTGTGTTTATTTTCCTGTCTGTGTGTCCCTCTTAGATTACAGGGATCCGTGGGGTGGTGACCATGTCTCGTCTGGGCTGTGTACCCACCTCGGGGGTTGTGCTTATTTTTGTGTTTTCAGTCTGCTGTCCTTGGCTGCAGGTCTTAGGGCTGGGATGTGTGGCGGTACCATTTATTGGAAGAAGAGAACTTTAGTCAGCGAGCCCGTCTGTGCAGGGCATAAGTGGAAGGTGGGCTTTGGGACTTCTCGACTTAGCCAGGAGCTGAATGTGGCGAGCTATAGTGCGTGTGGGTCCCTGGTGTCTCACGCCTCCCAGGCTCCTTTGAAAGAACCGCTTTCTCTAAAACCTGTGATTTTAAAATATCAGCAACAGGAGCACCTGGGTGGCTCAGTCGGTTGAGTGTCTGGCTTCAGCTTGATGATGGCTCACTATCTGACGGTTCGTGGGTTTGAGCCCCACATGGGGCTCTCTGCTGTCAGTGCAAAGCCTGCTTCAGATCCTCTGTCTCCCTCTCTCTCTGCCCCTCCCCCACGCTCTCTCTCAAAAATAAATAAACAGTAAACATTAAAATATGAGCAGCCACTGAATTGGGGCCAAACTGACCTCAAGAGTAGGGAAGAGAGTAGAATGCCCTCCCTCACCCGTGCATTCTTCTCCTGCAAACCCTGCTGAATCCTTCCAGCTTCTTGTCACAAGCTCATGGATGAGAGATTTTCTGCTAAGAGATCACATCTGTCTGATCGAGGCCCAGAAGATGCTTCTCCCGTTTATTCCCCGGGAGACGTCCAGGGGAAACCATCACTTCGGGGCCAGTTCCAGCATTGGAACGGTGGCCTGGTCACCTCCACTGAGGAAACCCAGAGCCCTTCATGAGTCATCAGCACGATGAGGGCAAGGGTCCTGTTCACAAAGGCAGCACAAAGGACAGCAAGACGTCGAGAGCGAGCTCAGCACCAGAAAAATGCAAATGACACCCCCCTACCTCCACCCAGAGAGATTTGGGAACCGGAATAATTGGGAAGACACACACTATGCTTTTGGGTAGGAACGCTAAATATTCTGAAGAGAGCAATTGTTATCATTTTGGCACAAAATATAAGCCCAAAATCCCAATGGAATTTTGAGAATTTGAGAAAAAATGTTCTAAAGGACACCTGGCAGAGAAAACATGCAAGAAGGTCAAACAGGGGCACTCGGGAGGCTCAGTTGGTTGTATCCGACTTCGGCTCAGGTCACGATCTCACGGCTTGTGAGTTTGAGCCTCGCGTCAGGCTCTGTGCTGACAGCTCAGAGCCTGGAGCCTGCTTCGGATTCTGTGTCTCCCCCTCTCTCTGCCCCTCCCCTGCTCACGCTCTGTGTCTCTCTGTCTCTCAATAATAAATAAATATTAAAAAAAAGAAAAAAAGAGGAAACCAATACATCAGAGTTTTACTTGTATACCTCCATCCACCATGTTTCAGGAGGGGAAGCTTGGTCATTGAAAGGAATTGATCAAACCTAAAGAGCAAAACCATGAAGCTCAACTTCTCAGCCTTCCCTAAATCTTTAGCTGCAGGTTGAACAAGGTGCCCTGAGCTGGCTGGCCTGGCTCACCTGGGCCAGTGTCTCTAGCCAGTCTGGGAGGCCTTGAGCTTCTGGGGCGATCCCACCGCTCCAGGGTGAGGCATCTGGTGACTCAGCCAGATGGAGTGACTCATGGACCAGTCTTGGGGATGAGCCATTGGGCGGTGACCGGGGACGCTCCGAGAGGCTCCACCAGGGAGGAAGATGCTATTTCCTAGAGCTGAGTGGGGAGCAGTAGTTTCCTCAGATAATGGAACTAGTCCCTCTTAGAAGAGGGGTTCTGATGTTTGGGGGCTTTCTAAGGGAAACAGACCATTAGGATAGAGGTCCTGCTAAGCTCATTCTTTAAAAAAAAAAAAAAAAAAAAAAATTCATTTTGGGGGCACCTGGGTGGCTCAGTGGTTAAGAGTCTGACTTCGGCTCAGGTCATGATCTCATGGTTGGTGAGTTTGGGCTGTGCACTCTCTCTCTCTCAAAATAAATAACATTAAAAAAATAATAATAGCATAAGTAATTTAAAAGAACAATATCGGGACACCTGGCTGACTCAGTCACTAGAGCATGTGACTCTTGATCTCGGAGTCATGAATTCAAGCCCCATGTTAAGCGTAGAGATCACCTAAAAATAAAATGTTTAAAAGGAAGATAACAAAAAGAGGAGACTCAAATTACAGAGATAAAGATGAAAAAAAATGGAATAAGCTGAAGTAGGATGGATGAACCAGAACAAAATGGCATACTCAAAAATCTAGAATTCACAGTTATGAATTACTTTTCAAATAAAGCGCTAAATATTACCAATAAAGATGAGAACAGAGTATGAGCAAATGACTTTCTAGTGCGTTCTGTGGACGTGAAGTACTGTCTCCTGCTGGGGCTCTAGGGGGCGATGTGTGCATGTGTGTGCATGGTGCTGTTAGGGACTTCTGAGCCCGACCCCCAAGAACGCACACCCGAGAGGTCTGGTGGGGGACCCTGAGGTGAGTGGAGGCCCAGCCCTGACCTCCGGGGGGGGGGGCAGGCTGGACAAGGGTCAAGAGTCGGTTTGCCTCGCTGTTGCCTCGTGATGGAATGACCCCATTGCGTCTCTGTGCGTCATTTTCCTCACTTGCTGATGGCGCCCCTCTCCTGATGGGCCTTACATTTTAATGGGAAGAAAAATAAATAAGTAAGCAAGCTACTAGTGGGCAGCATTTGTATTTTAATGAAGTGGAAAGAGTGCTGGGCATCACGAGCCAGGCCCGGGAACCTGCCCACCTGGTGGTTCTGAGTTACGAAGTGATGTGATGCAGGTGAATTAAAAGTGCACATACGCATAACGGGCAAGGCGGATGAGGTTGAGCATCCCTCGGGGAGGGGATGGGGGCGGAGATCTGTCTGCCCCCGGGAGGTGGGCCCTCTCTCCCCGCCCCCACCCCCATCCCCCTAGCGCTTCGGCCCCTCAGCCCAGCTAGCCCGTCCTCATCCTCCCATCTCCCTTCCCCAGGTGGGCCTTGACCCAGGATGGCTGAACCCCGCCAGGACTTCACCGTGATGGATGATCATGCTGGGACGTACGGGACGGGGGAGAGGAAAGACCTCCCCTCTCAGGGGAGCTACACCCTAATGCAAGACCACGAGGGTGACGTGGACCAGGGCTTGAAAGGTGAGTGCGCAGCCACGCATGCGCAACAGGTGCCTGGGGGGCGGGGCGGGGTTGGCGTGGGTGGGTGGCCGCCAACCTGCTTGCTCAGGAAGGGGCTGGCCCGAAACAACAAGCTCTTGAAAGGAATTTTAAATACTTGATTGTGTCACTAGAGTGAAGCCTCATGATTTGAAAGGGCCAAGATAACTCAAAATGTGAGGCCGTTTGAAAATGTACCCTTCCAAAGAAGAGTCTGACACGTGTGTGGACAGTGGCATGACAAAGATTGCAAGGGGCCTGTCAGTCTGATTAATACCCGGTGCTCTCTTGAGTCTTTAGCCCAATCTATTCACCTTTAGATCAGCAGCATTCATGAACATGAAAAATACTGGGCTTTGTATCTTATTTTTATCTCCTCCTTAAGAGCCTGTCTGGGCCCTTTTTCAGCAAGGTCAGCGCTGAGATTCCTGCTGTGCCTATACTAACAAACTGGATCCTCTAAACCTCTAAATATTCTTTTTTTATTTTTTTAAAAAAAAATTTTTTTTCAATGTTTATTTTTATTTTTGGGACAGAGAGAGACAGAGCATGAACGGGCGAGGGGCAGAGAGAGAGGGAGACACAGAATCGGAAACAGGCTCCAGGCTCTGAGCCATCAGCCCAGAGCCCGACGCGGGGCTCGAACCCACGGACCGCGAGATCGTGACCTGGCCGAAGTCGGACGCCCAACCGACTGCGCCACCCAGGCGCCCCTCTTTTTTTATTTTTAAGTTTAGTTATTTATTTTCAGAGAGAGAGAGCAAAAGAGTGCACGAGTGGGGGAGGGGCATAAAGAGAGAGGGAGAGGGAGAGAATGCCACACAGGCTCCTTGCTGTCAGCGCAGAGCCCGACACAGGGCTTGAACTGATGAACTGTGAGATCGTGACCTGAGACGGGCCCTTAACCGACTGAGCCACCCGGGCGCCCCTAAACCCCTGGATGTTCTATAATACAGTCTTTGGGCCAAGTTTTCTCGACCTCCTCCTCTCCCCCACCAAACACCTGTGTTTCATGTCCACGGAGTTTGGGGAGTCCCGTGGAGGGCACCAAGCCCTCTCTCCTGCTTCTCATGCTGTCCTCTCTGTCATTGCCAAGTGATACCCAGTGTAAGAAGACCTCCATTCCTGCCCTCCAGACCCATTACTGAGGAGACAAAATAGCAAACAGCCTGCTATTCTCTTTCAGTGCTAAAAATAATAAAAATACTTTGCACCCTGAGGTGTGGAGCAGTGGCTGGAGGCGGTGGGGCTCCAAAGTGGGAAGGGTGCTCTTCTGGGTGCATCTGTCTGGGAAGGTTCCCTGCAGGAGGTAGGGTCACCAGGAGGACCCCTGGGTTGGGGAAGCACGAGGAATGATAGATAGTCCCTGCTCGCAGGACTCATTGTGGGGCCTGGTTTCAAAGGCGACTTCTGTCTCTCTGTTGAAGCAGAGAGCGTAGGAGTCAGAGGAACCTGGGAATCAGACAGGTGGGCTCCTGGCTGGTAGAGGAAGAGTGGATATACTGTCCTGGGGAGCTCAGAGGCTGCCCTCTGGCCTTCTTGGGGCCTCCCAGCCCCAGGTGCTGGGGGAGGGGAGTGGGGGGAAATACCCACACCAGCCAAGTGTCCCAGGGGGCCAGATCTGCCCTCTGGGTGTCAGGCTCCAAATGGTGGTGAGAAATGTACGTCCTTACCTCTCCCAGGCCATAGCCTGGCTCCAGCCAGAGCTGCTAAGGTGCAGCTCCCATGGAGGGCAGTGAGGGAATCTGCTTTCTCCTTTGAGTCCTGCTGGGTGCCCTTCCTCCCTTTGTCCCCCACTCCGTTCCCCCCGTCTCCTCCTCTCCCACGGTCTCCTTTTCCTCCTTCCCTCTGTCCCTTCTTGCCTTGATTTTCTTTCCCCTGCTGTCCCGCTCCACCCCCGTGGCTCTACAGCCCCTTCCCATTTTCTCTCCCCACCCCGACCCCAGCCATGTGGAATGAAGGGTACTGGCCCCCAGGACCTCGATCCCAAAGGTTAGTGGCGCGCCGCTTTCTCCCTGCAGCCCTACCTGGCTGAGGCAGCTTGGGTTGGGAGCCAGAATTTGCCTTGTTCCCTGATCCCCTGATCCCCTGACCCCTTGACCCCCTCATTGGGGCCCTGAGAGCTCCTTCTTCTGAGGACCTGAGCCCACACATCCACGTGCAAGTCTCTGTTCTGTGTCATGATGACCATTGCCGCTTCCACAGTCAAGTGTCCCAATTTGGGTGATAAAGTTTATGGCCACCCTGCTTATAAGGGAACTTCCTTCAAATGGTAATTGGGGCATTTTTCTAGAACTCTAGGATTGCAAAGGCCTTCACCACCAGCGTCTCAGGCGATGCTCACAACAACTGCTGAGGGCAGATGTCACTTTCCCCGGTTGACAGATGACAAGCGGAGTTTCCTCTCTGAGGTCAAGGGCTGATATGCGGTGCTGCCCCATCAGAGGGATGTCTTCAGCTCCTTGTCATCTGTTTTGCCCCTTGTCACTCAGCCAGGTCCCCTTGGAACTTCCGTTATTAAACCCTCACGGGTGGAATCCAACTTAGAATTCTGCCTGGTGTGAATTATGCCAGTGACATTCTGTTTAGGGTAGGCTGGTATTAAAAATTAAATTTAAAATACATACAGCGTTGCAACAAATATACCTAATAGTATAGGATGTTAATAACTGGGGAAACTTGGTGTAGGGTATATTCTCTGTAGTAGCTTTGTAATTTTTTTTTCTATAAATCTAAAACTGTTCTTAAGTAAAAAGTTCGTTAAAAAAAAAAAAGGGAAAAAAAGTGTTTTTTACCATTCATATTTTTGGGGGGAGAAATGAAATTCAATTTGTAAAGTTAGAACGAGTTTACAAGTTATTTTGTGTCTCAGAGTTGTCTAAGGTATGTTTGCTAAAACTGCTCAATTCTTTAACATAAAACACGATCAGAAGTTCTGTGCTAAAACAAATATATGATATATGATATATGTGTGTGTGTGTGTGTGTGCGCGCAGATTTTAAGTTGCTAGCCTTTTTGTCACTGCTGTGAAAGGGAAACATTTGTAGATAGTTTGCTTACCTAAAGAGTATACTTCCCAAGAAGGCAAGTGATACTTAAGAGATTTCCATCACTCCCATCAAATTTGTTCTTGCTTCTGAGGATTTAGGAGTGATTTCTATATGGGGCATGAGCGGTATAACTTGGCAGAAGCTGTGTCACTTTACTAGCAACATTTTAGATAAGTGACAGACTATTTAGAATCATGACAAGAAACCACGTATAAAATACTAGAACAAAGAGTATCTGTGTGGAGGCTCAAAGTTGGACAAGGACTGGATACAGCCAAGAGCCTCCAGGTGGGTGAGGTGACAGGTGGTTAACTGATAGAGGAGTGCACCTTAACGAATTAAAAGGTGTTTAAGGGTTAACTTGTTAGATCTTCCAGCTAAGACGTTCGGAAAAGGCTTCTTCCTCCTCCTTTCTGTCCCTCCAAGAAATTTAATAAGGCTAATTCTAATGATAAGGATGGCAGGCTCCAGGACAGAGTGGGGGAGGGGCTGCTTGGGGGACAAGCATGCTTGGGGCGCTCTCCATATGCTCTTGTGCTCTGACAGTCAAGCCTGGTTAGTAATAACAAGACCCAGCACACAGTCTGCAGATGCTTTCTCGCCATTTGTCCAAAGCCTTCTGGAGGCAGTTTGCAGGTTTGTGTAAGCCCCAGGACCAGGGAGCTGTGGGTGTGCTGGAAATCTGTTTAGAATCGGTCCTTCTTTGGCCGGATGGTCGCCCCCAGGGCTGGGTATCCACTGGCGGCATTTTAGCAGTGGGTGTCGGATCTCTCAGTGCAGTGGAACACCGCTTGCCCTTTGTCGTCTTGGGGTTCTGCTTTGTACACAGGCCAGCCCCGCAGACCCTGCCCTCACCCCCAGGTGGAGTGGCTTTCCCGGGCTCCACCAGAGCCTCCTTGGCTTCGGATTCTGAAAGGGCAGTTGTCTCCGTAGGTAACTGTGGCTGACGTTTCAGGTGCGACTCCAGTCCTGCTGGTCAGTACTTGGAGATCTTTCTAGGAAACGAGCTGGGTGAAGTCCAGACACACGATCCGACGTCCAGTTAGAAGGCACTGCGTCTGCCCTTTTCAGAGGAAGGAGTTGGGTCGGACTGGGTTTCCAGGCATTCTGCTTGTCGCCGATGAAGGGTTGCACTCTCCCATGAGCCTCTCGGTCAGGAAAGACACAGCAGCGGGCTTCGTAGTGTCGGCTGCCCTTTTGTCGGCATGAGGCCGAGTCTCTGATGAAACCGCGGGCTGATTAAAAGGCAGTTTCGCCTCTTGTCCGGGAACGAGCACCTGCATCTTGGCCTGATGACCCTGCTGTGGGGACACCGTCGTGTCGGGATGGGGGTGGGATTGGTCCCCCTTGTGACTTTATCACGTGGCCACGCCCCATCCATCTGGGTCCCGCGCTGGGTGGTTTTCGGCTCCGAAAGACACTGCTCCCCATTTCCTCCTGCAGTCGGAAGGAGGGGTGGGGAGCGGCAGCCGTTCTGAGGGGCTCATTGTGTATGTTCCAGAGTCTCCCCTGCAGACCCCCGCTGATGATGGATCTGAGGAACCGGGCTCTGAAACCTCGGATGCTAAGAGCACGCCGACGGCAGAAGGTGGGCCCTCCTCTCCTTGCCTCACTGAGACAGCTCCTCCGTGCCTCCAGCCTGCGCTTAGCCGTGCTTTGAGCCCCGCGTGCCACCCTTCCCAGCTGCGTCCGCTGCTGCCTCTCCCGCTGGCTGATGGCCATGCTTGTTCGGTGCTTTGCAGGATGGGCTCAGGCCCGGGAATGTCACGGGAGCCAAGCCCTGCTTTGGTGCCTCGCTCTCCGGTGCCGTGTTTGGGCCCCTTCATCGTGTGTGTGCTTTGAGGCAGCCGCGTTTGGAGAGGCTGGGTCTGTGGCCGAGCGGGGCCCGAGCAGAGCTCCACAAAGCCCCTGCTCCATGGCAGCTGTCCCCCACCCCACACTCCTTCAGAAGCCCCCGCCCCCCTTGCTCTTCTCTCACGAGCCACCAGGTCCCAGTGCAGCCATTTGGGTGAGAAAGGGGGCGGGTTGGTGCACATCTCCAAGCTCATACTTTGGGACTGATCTGGTCTAGTATCCTTCATTTCTTGGGCTCTCGGCATGGTCCAGGGCTCTGGACCTTGGCCGAGGTGTGCATTCCAGCACGCCTTCTGACCTGTCCTCTCTAGACGTTTGGTGTCTAGGTTATTATAAAGCTCCTCATGTATTTCCTGAAGAGCTCCTTGGTCCTGATTTTGACCACCTTTTCTTGCTTCCCTTCTGAGTCAGTCAACACCGCATTTGGTTTTAGGTAATGGAAAACCAAACTAGCTGGGGCCTAGATATGAAGAGGTTTGTTGGTCTCACTTAATAACATGTCTGGATGGCAGCAGGTCTCCAGCGTGATCAGTGCTCTTCTGTCTTTATCTTCTGCCATCTGTAATGGTTGGATTATTGCCTCGTGGTTACAAGATGGCTGCTGCACTTCCAAGCATCACATCTGCCTTCCAAGCAAGAGGAAAGTAGCAAAGCCTGGCTAAAAGGGCCCTGAAATCAAATGTGTTTCCTTTTTATTAGGAAAGCAGTTTTCCTGCAAGCCCCGCCTAGCCGACTTCCGCTTATGTCTCATTGGCCAGAGCTGAGTCTCATGGCCACGCCTGGCTGTAAGGGGAGGCCGGAATACGGAGTGTTTTGCTTTCCAGACTCATAAGTAGGAGAAATCAAGGGATAAGGGCATTGAGAATGGCTCTTAAGTAACCAGTCTGAGGTATCTGCCCTTCCATCCCCCCCCCCATTCATCCCCAGGGAGGTTCATGGTTCTCTTCTCAGTACTCTCCTCCTCCTGGCTCTGCCCATGACTTTGGAGGCTGTCACAAGACGAGAACGTGTCCCGGCATCTCCCCAAGTGTCCACCTTTGAATGAATTGAGAAAGCGCCTGCCAATTGCTTGGTGTAAGGGACCATCTGTGGGGGAGAAAGTAGGTGTGGCCCTGCCCCCCCCCCCACCCCCCCCCCCCCCCCCCCCCCCCTGCCAGGTTCTCAGCCTAGTGAAGAGAATACCCAGGCCAAGGGCTCTTTGTGCTTCTTCTTAGAGCTGCTGATGCAAGACATTTCCCGCTGATCTGGTTAGGACAGTTTTGCAAGTTGCTACCTCCCTGAGGTCGTCAAATACTAATGCCAGACTTCATAGCAGCCTCCCAAATCATGGTTGTCAGTGGCCCCATCAACATTATTCTGGAAGGATCTTCCAACCAAGTCTTGCTGCACTCTGGATCCTGTACATGTGTGGGCCCCGAGAGTTTCCACTCCCTCCCCACGAGGAAGGGGACTCTGCTGGGGCTGGGCTTGGCCAGGCGGCTCCGCCTGCTCCCGAGACGACCGTGATTAAAATGGATTCCATTTGACTAAATTGACTCGGACTCTTGGAAAGCTTTCAAAGCTGACAACTCCTTATGTCTGCCTGGAACAGCCTGGGAGTATGCCAGGGCACTGCTTGGGGAGGACTGCTGAATTGGAAGGTGCTCGCCTTGATGAGAGGCTGACAGCAGCTCCTGGTGGTGGGTTTTTAACTGTGGCCTCTGCTCTGCAGGTGGACCATCTGTTAAGCCTGTTGTCAAGCACCCAGCTCTGGACGGGACCAGCCTGTTCATTGCCACCTGGGGGAGTCTGTGCTTTTAACCCTGAGTCACGGACTCACAGGGCAGGGGGCTTAGAGCTGGACGAGAACTTGAAGGTCACCTGGCCATGATATTCCCATTTTGCAGATGAGGAAACTGAGGCCCAAAGGGCAAAGGTCTTGCTCAAAGCCTCACGGCCATCTGATTTTAGACATTTCCTCTTTAAAACACCTGGGCCCGTCCCCGGCAGTCTCTTCTGCTGCAGCATCCACACGGAGGCTGTCCCCGGCACATGGCCTGGGCATCTCATGAGGTGGTGCCACCAAGCAAGATACTCATGTGCTTCCTGGGGAAACATCAGGCAGGGGCGCGGCTCTGGGTGTTGCTTTGTGGTGTTGCTTTTTGCATGCCGCCGAGTCCCCTCCTGCCTCCCCGCCCCTGCCTGCTCCCACTCGAGAAGTAAGGTGAGGGGCTTGGCCTGGCTTTCCTAGCCTCCTTAAGGCGACTCTCGGTTTCCAGACGCGACAGCGCCCTTAGTGGATGAGGGAGCTCCCGGCGAGCAGGCGGCCGCTCAGCCCCACACGGAGATCCCAGAAGGAACCACAGGTGAGGGTGACTCTCGTGGCTGGGTGGAGGCGGCCCTGGCCGGGTGCCCGGCTGCCCTGCAAGGAGGAGTGGGTGCGAATAGGGGTTATGCTGTCTCCCAGCGAGGCAGCAACGCGGGAGGACTCCCGGTTTCTGGGAATCTTGGGTCATTCCAATCTTGGTGCCTTGATGGCCGATGGCTTCCGTGGCTGCCCGCCAGCCTCCCAGAGGAGGGAGCATCTTCTGGATTCCGTCCAGCTTCTCCCTCCATCTCAACCGGCACATCAGCTCCAAGCTCTCTGCAGGGTCCTCCGAGGCAGGCTGGTGGCAGATCACCCCTGGACTCAGTCCACCTTCCTGCTGGGGCTCTGCCCAGTGACAGGGTCACCTCCTAACAGACAGTTTACCGCCTGGGGCACCCAAGCGTGTGGCAAGGTCTCATGACTGACCCACGCCTTTGGAGGATCTTAATGGGATAGCCCCTAGGGAGCTCAGCAGTGTGACCTAGCATCCATTTCTAGAACTAGCTTTTTCAACGTATCTGCATCGAAGAGGCGTGACGAGACTGTCCTGTCAGCACAGATGATGGGGGTCGCACAGATGATCCTACCAGAAATGGTGGTGGCCTCCAGCCCCCTGGGACCCTTAGGAAACGGCTCGCTCAGCCCAGGGCTCTGGCCGCCGTCCCCCTCTGGTAATGTTCTTTGTGCTTATGTAAATGTTCAGCTGTTGGCTTCTGGATTGGGAGGGCACTGAAGAAGATGTGCAGAAGAGCTCCAGACAGGATGTCACCAGCACTGGAGAATGGGGAAAACGTCCCCAGACGGGAGTCTTGTTTCCTTCCTGAAGACAGTGCTCACAGCAGCTTTTTGGGAAACTGCAGCTTTTTCTCGGGGCTCCATTTGTTGAGAACCCCCAGGCAGAGGTCCAGCGGCAACCACCCCCTCCCTCCACTCGTCACAACCGTTTCTGCTTTGTGAGTTGGTCTTTTGAGATGGATGGAGGCGTATTCTTGAAGCTGGATGGCCCTCGTCCTTGACAGTGAAGGTCGTTTGAAGGCTGAACAACGATGAGCTCTTGGATAACCTGATTTTTGTGCCCCACCCCCACCCCTGTGCCTGTATAGTTTACTCAGTGGGAGAGCCCTTCCCCTCCAGGGTGAAAACTGTAGCCCTCTTCTGACTTTTTCATCACTGCTAAGCGATCAAAAGTACTTTAGTCTCGTCGCAAAACACCGTTTGCGAGTGCTGGTTAGAATGTCTGGTCCCATCCAGTAGCCCAAGCTCATTCAGGGTTGCAGCCCCCCACTTTGGGGCTGGGGAGGTGGAGGGGACGGGAGGCAGGAAAGTTCGTCCTGGATCAGCACTACTGTGCGCGGCTTCACGCTCTCTGCAGCGTTTAACATCGACTCTTTCTTTTGTGGGCACCTGTTTGGAATCCTTCCAGACTCCTCCATCCCAGTCATCCCCCAAAGGTCCCTCCCTCTGCCCTTGATTCCAGCAGGCACTTCGCTCTCTTCAGCCCCTTGGAATCTGAAGATCCTCCCCTCCAGCCTTCTGCTGAAGTTGGCTTGCTTCTGTTGGCAGCCCACCGGCCATGGTCCAAGGCGCCTCCACGCTGCTGCCTCCCTGTGTCCATATCGGGTCTGTGGGAAACACAAGGGCATGCTTTGCCCAAGCAAACGTGGCGTGTGCAGACTGACCACAGGGCTGCAGCCACACCCTTTGCTCCGCCCCCAAAGCGGGGCCAGCCCATCTCTCCTCTGGTTTTCCCAGGTGGGATTCTGACAGCGGTCCGCCGTGTCGCTAACCACAGGGGATACACACCAAGTGTCTCCGAGTGGTGCCTTGAAACCCTCCCTTTGGGGCTGAGGTGGGTGGTGGCCATGCAGCCCGTCCTCCACGCTCCCAAGCCACCCTCTCCACCCTTTACATCCTCAACGAGATAGGGAGGATTTAGGTTCGGGGGGCTTTTTTTCAGCTGTTGACCTGGATGATGTGTAACCTAGTTTCGTCCTTGGTTAGGTGTCTTACATTCTTGAAACTTCTCCTTTGAGGCCTACTGGGGATGCACTGTGGCCGCCCCACAGCAGGAATCCCTGCCTTGCTGGGATGGGAGCCCCTGCCTCTTGGGGCTTCAGGGATGCGGAAAGCCCGTGTAGCGATGTGATGGCCCAGCCACGGCCACACACCCTACTTCCTCCCTTTGGCCTCTCTGAGCACCTCCCTTGCTGGGAACTGGGGAGTGAGGGGGCGTCAGGGTTATCAGCAGCCTCCAGTGTCTGACACGCACCGGGGCCAGGATATTGCAATTCTGCACCCGCGTGTGAGTGCAGTGACCTCCCAGTGCCACAGCAGTGATGTCATTCCCATGTGTCCCCCACCCCCTTCCCCGTGTTCTCCGTCTCCAGGACTCTATGCCACTTAGCTGGACCTGCTGTCACTCTGAACCTTTCTACCACAGCCTCGTCAGAAACTCAGACGAAATCTGTGCTTGAAGCTGTCATTGTTTGACCTCGTGGGTGGCACAGTGTCAGCTTGCGGGGGCCCGAGAGCAAGGTCATGTTTAGGATCTGGTGGTTGGGGAGCCCACTGCCAGTCCCCTCACGGCCCTCACTGCCGCTGTTCTGGGACAGCCAGCGGGCCAGTGTTTATAAGGCCATCATGCAGCTGTCCAGCGACCCAGAGAATCTTTCTTTTCCCTCCTCCTTGCCCTCCACGGCAGGCCTGAGCTGGTGACTTGGCATTTCTGTTTTAGGCGTGAAATCGTAACCATCTCAGGTCTGGGAGAAAAGACTCGTGGCCCAGCCAGCAACTTGTAGGCATTTCTTAGGGGTGGTGGTTTCCCTGTCTCCATCCATCAGGGCATGCATGTTGGTTTTTCTGGCATCAAGAGGCAAGTGCACGTCAGTGTGTGCACCAACTTGCTTTATGAACTCTCTTCTACGCAATTGTATCTGTTGTCCTGGAGCAATGTCCTGATTTTTCACGGTGCAGAAATTGGCATTGCGGTAAAGCTTACTGATTTTGTCACTGTTGATGATGTGATCTTCTTCATTTGGGGTGAGCCCAAGACACCCTAGATGCTGCTCACTCCCGGCCTCCTCCTAACCAGGTGGCAATTACTCCTGGCAGGTGGTTACAGGGGTTTGCCCAGTAGTTTGGAGAAAAGAACCTGCACAGCTGTGGGGCACTTCCCATACGCCCGGCATCTCACTAAACACAGTCATTCACATTCTCGTTTTCACCCTCACCGTCGTCCTCCGAGACAAGCCGTTTTCATCACCTTGGGGGTCTAGGTGAGGAAACAGAGGCTCCGAGAGGTTAAGTAAATGGCGGTGGCTGGATGCGAACCCCAGCCTGACTCCACAGCCCACGCCTAGTGCTTTCCTGCACCCTGAGCGCCCCCAGAGCACTGGCTGGGGCTGGGAGTGCACCTGCCGCTCGGTGGTGGTTCCCGTGGTGATGGTTGAGCAGTAAACTGCTTCTCTGACCTCACCCACCCTGCGTGTCTTTGTTGAGTGGGGCACTCGGGACCCTGGGCCCACTGTGGAGAAGGTCTTTCCTACAGGATCATGGTCACCTGCAAAGTGTGTGGGTACGGTGGGGTTCATTTAGTAACCTGCTTTTGTAGACATCCCCAGCAATAATATTTGCAAAAAGCCAGAGGTTCAGCCCCTTGGTACTTACTCATAAGATGTGCCTTTCCTGAATGTTTTCAGAAAAATACTGGAAGATGTAAAGAACTTGGTTTCTGGCAAACAATAACTGTTTTTGCTTATATCTTCTTCATTTGTTGACACATAAACCAGCTGAAGAAGCAGGCATTGGAGACACCCCCAACCTGGAAGACCAAGCCGCCGGACATGTGACTCAAGGTCAGTGGGCTAGAATCGCCTACCACAACCTGGGGGTCAGGAGAAGGGAGATGGCAGCATTCAGATGGGCTCTACCCTGCAAAGAAAACTCGCACCTGGGCCCTAATTCATGGGTCCAGGAGGTTCTTATCAAAGATGGGCTAATCAGACATAGAAAGAACTCTAGACACACACACACACACACACACACACACACACACACCTTTTTTTTTTTTTTTTTTTCCTAACACTGTTTCTGAGTTATTCCTAAGGTATTTAGTGTCCTGAGAGAGGCTGGCCCTGTCCAGCCTGGGGAGTCAAGAAAGAGTGTCCAACAGAAACTCACATGTGAATGATAGGTGATTTTCTCCTCAGGCTGCCCTCTGGCCCTGTCCCAGGAGCAAGGCCTCAACCATATCTCCACCAAGCAATTTCTTTTTAACTTTCTTCTGTGCAACATTCAGACCTTATTATGATTTTCTTCTCAGGAACCAAAACTGTGTTCAAGGAAACCAACTTTCTGTAATCATTTAGCCCAAATGTTTTAAGAACTTAATTTTATATTAAAGATTCCTTATCAGGGTGCCTGGGTGGCTCAGTGGGTTAAGCATCCAACTTCAGCTCAGGTTATGATCTCGCGGTCTGTGAGTTCGAGCCCACATCGGGATCTGTGCTGACAGCTCAGAGCCTGGAGCTTACTTCAGATTCTGTGTCTCCCCCTCTCTCTGCCCCCACTCACACTCTCTCTCTCGAAAATAAATAAACATTAAAAAAAAACTTAAAAAGAAAAAATTCCTTATCTCAGGAAATAGAGACCTCTGATATAATATGGCACTAAGTTCATTTTCTATCACCTGCTGCATCGATGAACTGGAGAGTCTACTGTATCATGTGGAACTTTCTAGACTGCCAGAGAGCTAGAAAGACACTTTTTTTCTCTCCAGAAAGTGATACGGGATTTGTCCAACATCCAGTGCTGGCATTGGGGCCATCTGGCTTTAGGAAGACTCTGGGCCCAAAGAAGTGTTTCATTGAGGGTTGTTGGTTTTTTTTTAATGTGTATTTATTTTTAAGAGAGTGACAGGGCATGAGCAGGGGAGGGGCAGAGAAAGACAGAATCTGAAGCAGGCTCCGGGCTCTGACGGGCTCCAGGGTCGAGCTGTCAGCACAGAGCTCGAACCCATGAGCCATGATATCATGATCTGAGCCAAAGTCGGACACTTAACCCTCTGAGCCACCCAGGCGCCCGTTCATTGCCCCATAGTGGGCTAACTTCATTTCGCATAGCATGGAGAGGTGTGTTTTCACTCTTAGACTCACAGAGAGCTTCAGAAAATATTAGAAGGGATAATCAGTGTAAGGAAGAACCCCAGTCTGTGTGTTAAATAACTAGAACCCTGCCACCTGTTTCTTTCAGGTCATGATTTTCAGGCTTAGGTGAAATGAGAGGCTTTTATAACCACTGGATATGACCATTTATTTCCATAGAAGTGGATTTGAGTTTTTTCTACAAATATTTATTACAGGCTAGGTCTTCATGTCCCTGCAACATATTCCATGCAATGAAAAGATCAGGCCAACATCTTTTGTGGAAACTTTGTTTTCATGCTCACTCAAATTTTTTAAAAAAATTTTTAAATGCTTATTTATTTTTGAGAGACAGACAGAGTGTGAGAAGGGGGGGAGGGGCAGAGAGAGGGAGACACAGAATCTGAAGCAGGCTCCAGGCTCTGAGCTGTCAGCATAGAGCTCGACACAGGGCTCAAACCCATGAACCGCAAGGTCATGACCTGAGCCAAAGTGAGATGTTTAACCAGCTGAGCCACTCAGGTGCCCCTGTGCTCACTCAATTTTTACATTTTTTTTTTCCCATCAGTGGCCTAGAATCATGTAGCTATAAAGATGAACACCAGGTAGACATTTGCAGTGGGAAGTTGGCACCAGATCTGGAAAACGTGGAGGTTTCTACCTCTGATCCTAAGGAGGACTTGATTAGGTCCAAATTGATGAGCCCTGTTTCCTCCAGCGAAATCGGACATGCTCGTGATCCACAAACACACTTTATTTGCTAAAGGCCTGTAGTCAATTTTCAGATTTAGAAAGAGCCATCTAACAAAAGCATAGTTATTACATCTTACCCTTGCAGTTTCTGCTGCAGAAAGAAGGCCTCTGGTAGCCCATGTTCATGAATACCTGCCAGACAAGGACATTTTAGGATGGCACTACAGGAAGCAGAGTGTCAGATAAGGGAAGGCCTTACCCACGTCCTGTCACACGGAGGAGTAGACCTTTCTCCTGTGTCATGAAGACCAGGCCTCCTGACAGGGATGTGGGGGGAAAGTTTATCCAGAGTCCTGAGGCCTGCACACTGTTTGCCCAATATTGTTTACCTTGGACCACCCCCCCCCACCCCCCTGCCACAAGATGATTGCTATGTTTATTACTTACTGAGCACTTCATAGTATTCTAGGAACTGAATACAATATTCTCCCAGCCTCACTCCTTCCTCCAGAAATATAGTTGCACGATGATCGGTTCAGTCAATACACACACACGGTACAATCAAATATTGATGACTTTTCAAGACGTGTTCACTATTTATGTTTGGGGGCCTTTTTCTCTTTTTTTTTTAATGTTTATTCATTTATTTTGAGAGAGAGAGCACGTGAATGGAGGAAGGTCAGAGATAGAGGGGGAGAGAGAGAGAGAGAGAGAGAGAGAGAGAGAGAGACTCCCAAGCAGGCTCCAAGCACTGTCAGCACGGAGCCCGATTTGGGGCTCAATCCCATGAACCATGAGATCGTGACCTGAGCGGAAACCAAGAGTCAGACGCGCAACCGACTGAGCCACCCAGGCACCCCCCTCCTTGGTCTCTTTTTTAATGAAGGTCATTCCAGGTCTTACAGTCTGTTAGAGAACAGTAACGTCCTGACTGAGAGCAACTTCTAGAAAGCTCTCGGAGGAAAGCCTTTTCCAGAAGGCAAGGATGCATGGCTCGTCTGGGAGGTGTGAAGACTAGCATCTGCCTCAGCCTCTGGTCTGTTGAGCTGGTTGGTTGCTGAGAAGCCATGGTGCTGAGGCACCTGCTCAGGTTGTCTGGTCCCTGCGTCTCTGTCATTTGGGCTCTTCTTCCCAGCGGCTGACCGACAGTCCCAGTGAGGTGCTGCAGACCCTGCAGAAAGCAGAAATGAGCCTATTTTCCTGATAGCAGTTCACCAGGCAGCATTCCGTCGTTGGTCATCGCTATGTGGCAGGCACCGTGGTTGATGGCAGGAACAGGAAATGGATGAGATCGTGATCACGAGGCCCTGGTGTCAGGGTGGGGGTGGAGGCGAGCCAACAGGCAGCTACAGACTCTGCCCGGGTGGGGAGAGAAGACGGGCACGTGTTAGCCGTGCGTCCACAACCGCACATGCATTCTCCACCACCCTCCCCTCAGCTCTTCCAGTCCCCCGAATCTTTGGGGTTCTAGGTTGCGTTTAGAGGAATTGTATGGGTTGTCCTGCTGGAACCATATGGGAGGATTCAAGGGTGGGAATTTAAAAAAAAAAAAAAAGGATGTTTATTAGGAGTACCACAGAGCATGCCTCTCCTGTCCTTAGTACACGGTCAGGTTCTTTAAGGAGGGTTCGCGTGAACGCCACCGGGATGAGCCAGAAAGGGTGACGTGACCTCCACCAACCGCCAGCTGTGTGACCATGTGAATGCGGTGGTCTCACGGTCTGGCGATGTCTTTGTCATGCAGGACCCTTTACGGCCACAGTGGTCTGCTGCACCTTATGCAAAAGGCCCGTACTTGACCCATGAGCTAGATAAATCTGAATTGTGCTTCTGTGTATAGGAACCTTACGGTTCCTGATGACGATAAATTTTGGATTTTCCAAATCTATCAGAGCGTGGAGCTTGAGGCTGGGTTGGTTTAGGGGCACCCGCTGGTTTCATTTTGCAAAAAGGGGAAACACAGAGAGAGGGAGAAAAAAAGAGATCCTTGGGGCACTCAAGCCAGGTCCTATCTAGAGGCCAGAATCTTCAGGAAGCTCAGTGTCCCTGGAGAGAAGGAGAAGCTTCTGTGGCCTAGTGGATTCAGCACAAGGCAGCCCTGGATGCTGACGTGCTCCGAGGCCACCCAGAGCCGGTGACAGAGGGATAATGCTGGTGCCAGCGGGGCCGTAGAGGTCACCAGGTCCAGCACCCCTATTGCAGATGAGAAAACTGAGGCGCAGAGAGGGGAGGTGCTCACCCAGTGTCACCCAATGAGTCAGTGTTAGGTAAGCCAATAGAGCTTTCATTCTGAGCAAAGGAAAATAACAAAGATGAGCCCAGAGCCCGCATTCCTCGTTCTTTGTTAGTTGGCCTCGTGATGCTGTTTAAACGTCCTTTTCTTATTTCAAGAGCGCGTTCCTTCTCTTAAACAATTAATGCATCCTTGCCAACCATTTGCCATTGCTGCCTCTTCAAACCCAGAGGAGTTGAGAGTTTCCAGCCAGCAGAGGGAGGTACCTTCGAGGCCCTTGGCCAATGTGTTTAGCTCTCAGGATCAGCCTGACCACGGCAGAGAAGCTTCCGGGGCCTCTGTGCTGCCTGTGGGGGAGAAACAGCCAGAGGCCCCTGTGGTCTCCCGCCATTCCCAGCATCATCCCATCTGCCAACCGCCTTCGCCAACAGGTGGCCCTCAGGAGCCCCACCAGGAGTGGGGACCAAAACCAGGGGATGGGGTCGAGGGGGGTCTGGCCTTTCCGAAGCCCGCCTCCCCTGGATATCTCCAGACGGAGCCTGGGAGTGTCAAGGCTGTGCAGGAGATCCTCCTTGGGGAGCCAGGGCACCAGAGAGGTGAGGCCGCCGACCTGGGCACCCCAGGTCTGCCCCGCCAGCACGCGCCCGGGGCCCCCATCCTGCCTCATGGCCCAAGGGAGGCCACACACCAGCCTTCAGGGACAGAACCAGAGGACACAGAGGGAAGTCGTCATGACGCGGAGCTACTGGAGTACCAGCTTGTGGGAGATCTGCGCCAGGAGGGGCCACCTCTGAAGGGGGACCATGGCAAAGAGAGGCGGGGGGGCAAGGATGTCGATGAAGACCGCGATGTGGACGAGTCCTCACCCCAGGACTCCCCTCGCTCCCACGTCGCCCCAGGTCTGCAGAGCTCCCCAGTCCGAGGCGGGCCACCCCCCCAGACAGTTTCCAGAGGAGCCACTGGCTTGTCCGGCTTCGCAGCTGAGGGTGCCATCCGCCTCCCTGTCGATTTCCTCTCCCAAGTTTCCACAGAGATCGAGGCCTCAGAGCCCCCCGGGCCCGGTTCAGGGCCCACGGCGGAAGGGCAGGACACGCCCCCCGGGTTCACCTTCCACGTGGAAATCAAAGCCAACGTGCAGAAGGAACAGGCACGTTCAGAGGTGGATTTGGAAGGGGCTGCACTTCCCGGCCCCCCTGGAGAGGAGCAAGAGCCCCGGGGCCCTTCTGAGGGAGAGGACACAAAAAAGTCGGACCTTCCAGAACCGTCCGAAAAGCAGCCTGCAGCTGTTCTGCCAGGGAAGCCCATCAGCCGGGTCCCTCAACTCAAAGGTCTGTGTCTTGGGCTCCTTCGCTCCTTCCTGGTGACCTCGTGTGCCACCCAGGCTGCGGGCACTGCCACCAAGCTTCCGGCCCTTCCTTGAGTCCTGCTGCTTCTGAGGTTCCCAGAGAGAACCACTCAACCGACCAGCCGGGCACTGCTGCGCACCCTCCCGTGGCCTCCTCCTGCCCCTCAGGCTCTGGTAGCACGTGCTGCTCTCACGCTTGCCCGCCATGTTGCATGTCACCAACACCCGCCCAGCGCTTTCCGCCCCGTTCGTTTCTCTGGCCACTTGAATTACAACGATCCTCCAGCCCCCAGCTGGTCGGTGTGCCGCCCTCCCCAGGGCGGATAACAGCCGGTTCACTTGTGTGCCCTAAATTCATTGTCTAGAACCCTCCCAGCCCTTCCAAGGGGGCATAAGGAGCCCCGCTCTGCAAATGAGGAAAGTGAGGCTCAGAGAGGGAACGTAACTTGCTGAGGGCCACCAAGCAGTAAGTGACAGAGCCACATTCACAATCCGGGCGGGTCTGCTGTGCACGTCACACTCTTCCCTGGTCAGCACAGTGCCTTCTGGAAGGTTCTCCGAGCCCAGAGACACAGAGGCCGTGAGCCTGGCCTGTGCTGCTCTTGTCAGCGGACGACACATCACATACAGCACACGACACACGTATGAGGATTTGGGGGCAGCCGAGAGCCTGTGCTGAGCCTTCGGTTTAACAGCCCCCACCCCTGCCCGCCCTGCCTTGTGGCAGGGGAGACAATGAGCAGAAACAAACACTCCTGTCCCGAATCTCCTCCTCCCCCGCCCTGGGCAGAGCCCGGGGAACCCTGTGCTGGGATTGCAGGGGCCTCAGCCCCAGCCCACTCTACCAGAGCAGCCCTTGGGGAGCCGGAGAGGTGGGAGGGGAGGTTCCCCCATGTTGGGGTCTCTGTGTCCTGTCAGGAAGACGAGGAGGCCAGAGGAGGCCTCCAGGCTACAAGTTGGGCGCGTTCATACCTTTAGGACCTCTCGCGTGTTTGGAGGGCCCATAAATGGGTGTTACTTGAGCCATCCATTGCAAACCTCTATTCGATTTTTATTAGATTTTACTTGTCAAGAGAACTTAGAAATGTTGTAGATAAAGGAACCTGTATTAAAGTTGAAGACCAAAAAAAAGAAATCATATATCTTATTTTAAAATACCCTAAATTCCAAAATACTAGGGGACAAATACCTGTGATGCGGCAGATTATAAGAGCGTTTCCTGAAATGGTGTTTTATGAACACTGGCTATCGATAGATGTATCCAGGGGAAAAAGAGTTCCATGGTCCAATTAGTCTGGGAAAAACAGGCTAAGCCAAGTGAAGCGAGGTTTGCTGCTGCAGGACTTGTCAGAACCTTTAATATTCAGTTGCACATTATGACCCTCTGAGAAAGATACAGAGTATGGATTTCCCAAATTTATGTGATCCCACCTGCTAACATCTCCTGGAAGAGGACCCGTTCAGTAGCACCCGATTTGGGAAGTGCATATCTAGCAGCTGCTTTTGTTGTGACATGGTGGCCGTGGTTGATTTGGGCAAAAGCTGTGAATCCAGTCTACCTGGGTCTCTTATGAAAACGCATATTCCTAAGCCCCACCTTACATTTACGAGTCTTGGGTGGGCCCAGGAATCTGTGTTTTTTCAACCTGTCCCAGTGGTGCTGCTGAGCAGTACGTTGTGCAAACCTCTGGGCTAGATCATCAGTTCGGGTCACTCTAGAAATCCAGGCTCCAGTAGCCAGTGTGAACCTCCAAGAGACCCCATTGGCCTTTTGGCAGGGGGAATATGATATTGAAACCAAAGATGAAAATCTATCCTCAATTGTCAACAAAGAACGTCAACCGAAGGAAAAGATGGGTTAGGGATGGTGCTGGTGGACCTGTGGTTTCACCAAGGGGTGCGGCTTTTACACACAGAAGCCGGCAGTGTTTTGTTTCCAAACTCCAGAGATGATCTGCTAAGCTGTTCGACAGTAACTAGTTTGTAGCTAATTTGGGAAAATGGCAAGGATGTCCATTGGACAATGGAAATTTTCCTCCCCTTGGGAGGGCCTGTAGGTGGCAGTAAGACCTTCCTGGGCTGGTGTGGAGTGGACTTGTCAGGGGGCAGCTGGGGCTGGCGACTGTAGCCTCCCTAGTGAGGGACAGGCTCTGGGCAGACAACTCACTTACCCTGAACCTTGGGTGACAGCATGAGTGTCGGCGGGCGGGGGGGGGGGGGGGGTCCTACAGAAGGTCGGAGCATAGCTGAGCTTCCCCATCTGTGGCCCTGGGGCCTCCAAATGCCCCTCCTTGGCATGGAGGTGGTCCCCGCTGGAGGAGGTTGACCCTGGCTAAGACAGGAAAGGAGCCCGTGAGATGGGTCTGCGCTGTCTCCGATCCTGATTTGCCCTCGTGTCCGCGTGTGCCTGGAACAAGTTTTCACTGCGCCCCCTCTGCATGTCCCCACCCTCGGCCAGCCTGCTCCAAGCAATGACCCCAGTGTGCTGTGTTGATACTAACAACGAGAGACAGATTGAAGGGGAAAGAAAATCAACTGAATGCTCACCAAGCCCAGCTGAACCAAACACGTTGCACTGATCCCGAGAAATCAGCGTTGACTACGTCCGGCTCTTTCTGGGAGCTGTGCAAATGGGGGTAACTTACATTCTCATTTTGTATCTTATCAGCTCGCATGGTCAGTAAAGGCAGAGATGGGACGGGAGCTGATGACAAAAAAGCCAAGGTAAGCTGATGAAACCGTGAGCCTCTGCCAACATCCAGTTTATCGAGAAGCCATGCTTATCTGAATTAATTTCTATATGTAACACGTGCAGAGCATCTGCCGCGGAAGGATGACTGTCATTAAAAGTGCTTTGTAGTTTCATGCAAACTTTTCAAGTTCCAGCATTTATCCATTTTGATGCTTCTGCCAGGGAAGGGCGGTCGGCAGGTTCATGAGTAAGAGCTCCTAACTGCAATGCCATTAGCAGAATTGAAATGCGATATTCACAGTAAACAAAGATACATTTGAATTTTCTGCAGTAAAGTTTGAATCTTACACTACCCACTGCAGATCTAGGATCAGCAAACATATATGTACACACACACACACACACACACACACACACATATTTAAGGTGTATAGAGAATATCATTTACTCAGGTGGCTGAGGGAGTGTTGATCAAGGAAGTGACCTCTCACCTAAGGTGGAGGGTTCTGGAAAAGCCCAAGAAAAGAGGACCAGTGAGGTAGGCCGTGAAGGAAAGGTAAAGGAGGGTTGCCGAGGCAGAGGTGGGAGCAGCATTCTGAGGAGTGGGAACAGCACAGCAAAACCCGGAAGCATGAGGAAATGATGCATGCTTTCAGAACTCTAAGCAGATGGGTTGGTTGATTGGTGTGGAGTGCCAGGAGGAGACGACGCTGGGAAGGATAGTCGAGGAGGGAAACGCGATACACGCCCCTAAATGCTAAGTGGACACGTGGTGCAGTAGACGCCATCTTGAAATCTTGCCATGGGGCCAGTTTGACGTAAGCTTTGGTCGGTCTTCAGAAACCAACCCGAGGAACCGTGAATGAAGCTCCTGCTCCCACCAAAAATGCATCCACGGTCATGCTGGCTTTCTCAGGGCTTTCTGTCAGTTGTAGTTTCCTCCCTTAATGACTTTGCATCCTGGAAAATTCTTCTGTCACTGGACAGTAAGGTTTCCCCAAGAAAATCCCCCTGTGGCTCTAGGTGAAGACCTAGTTTTCTTAAAGGCATCCAAAATTTCCAGTATAAATTCTGCCTGAAGCGTCTGGGTCCTAACTTGTCCCAGAGCCTCGATGGGGTCTTCAGATGCCGAGTGTAGCCCTAGGAGTTGGGTGGCATGTGTTTTGCCTGCCCTGTAGGAAGTCAGGGTTTGCCATCACCAGACCCCCTGATGAGGCAGCTGGGAGCTGCCCTAGGCCGTAGCTGTTAGGCAGTCGTGATGCACATTAGGGGAATCCCAGCCTCATGCGTGCATGCCTTCCTTTCTTCATGCATTTGCACACTTGGGTAAGACATCCCCGCCCTGGACACCGAAGGGTCAGTTTTTTCAGGAACCTTGGCCAGGTGGGGAGTGCTGTTGGCAGAAGGGGGCTTGTGCAGCTGGAGAAGGAGGAGTACCCACCCGCAACCTTCCTTGTCACCAGCTCCAGGACCTCGGCCTGTGTCCCTCCCCCCACACCTTTCCCCACCCCTCAGGCCTCCTCCTCACCATGGCTGGCTGGCACAGAGGGCCTCAGCCATTTGGGGGGACGGGGGTCCAAGGCCAATGAGGAAACACAACCAAGAAGCCTAATGAAGTCTGTGGTCAGGACCCTGCTTGGTAGTTCTGACTTCCTCTCTGAAACACATCTGGACTAGGCCTCTGGGTTTTATGCCTGAAGGTGTGACCCCTCCTCCTCCAAGCTCACCTCCTCCAGGCGACCAAGCTTCCCAGTCAGAGTACCCCAGAGCCAGTTAGGACAAGCAATCGTCAATCAGTTTCCCTGTCCTCCAAGGGGCAGCTCCGTCCGTGAGGTCATCTGCTCCACTGACCAGGCTGTATCCTTAGGTAGAGTGTGTTCAAGAGTGAACACTGGCCAGATGAAGATTCGCCAGACAGTGTTAAGATACGTTTTGTTTGAGACGTTAATCAGAAAGTGTGTGTGTGTGTGTGTGTGTGTGTGTGTGTGTGTGTATGTGTGTGTGACCTGAGGTATGAGACAGAATCTTTAAGACTTGGAGCAAGCACAGTCGTGATTTTAGCAAGCATGATACTCTCAGTGTGGCAGAAGGCGGCCAAGGATTAGCAGGCCGGCATGAGTTCCTCACCTGGAATTTAGCAGAAAGTGGGGCCCTTCTGACCTATGACACATTGGGGATGTTTTCTTGAAAAACACCCTAAGAACCATATGCTTTGGCAATCTCCATTAACTCTTTGGGCATGAAACACCTTTAAACCAGTGGTCTCCAAAGTGGGGGTAGTGGGGGGCGGCCCAATGGGCTAAAGAACATTCTAGAACTTCCATTGGGTTTTTTTTTTTTCCTCTTCTCGTTTAAAAGTTCTGTCATACATAAGTTTTTTAATATACATCCTATGTTGGCATCATAGTATACATATTTCACCTATAAATAAGTATGAGGACGTTAGGGTGTGTGGCTGCTTTCTGTTCTTAGGGACGAGAAGGGTGGATAAGGGTACGTGATCCACACAGTTTGGAGATCACTGCTTTAAACCATGACCTGCCATGTTTATTTTTAGTTACTGTCCTTTTTCAGTTTGTTCCCCTCCCCCATGTGCTGACTTTTATTTTGATTTTATTTATGTTTATGTTTAAGACATCCACACCTTCCTCTGCTAAAACCCTGAAAAATAGGCCTTGCCTTAGCCCCAAACGCCCCACTCCTGGTAGCTCAGACCCTTTGATCAAACCCTCCAGCCCTGCCGTGTGCCCAGAGTCATCTTCCTCTCCTAAACACGTCTCTTCTGTCACACCCCGAACTGGCAGTTCTGGAGCAAAGGAGATGAAAGCCAAGGTAAGGAAACCGCCTTTGAAAAGAATCAGGCTGCTCTCATGTGGTTTTCAGATGTGTGTTGTTTTTAGCCACAAAGACCTTCCTTTGGATAAACTCTTACCTGGAAGCACCGTGTAGAGCAAAGACAAGTCTGGTTGAAAGGGGCCGCTTCCGTTAGTCCCTCAGAGCAGCCCCCACAGCACCCCATGGGACCCTGATTTGAAAATCCCCGCCCTTTGGCACTGGAGAGAGCTTCCAGATTGCCCTCATTTGGGTTGGACACAGCAATGCCTGTCCCACAAGGTCACTCCTCTGCCGAACCATCTTGTGGTCTTTGGTGAATGTCCGTTTCTTTTTTGAGTTTGCGTTATGTGTCAAGGTCAAAGCCAGTAACTGCCCGCAGTCAGCAGGCTGTGCCTGGGGGCTCTGGACCTTTGGCCGGTGGGCTGATTGGTGCTGGTGTTCACCCCGCCAAAGGCTCTCAGCACACTCAGGAGTCCGTGAAACCTGAGGGCTGTTTGGGAGAGAAGAAAACAATGACCTAGCTCTGTTAGCGCTCGAGGTCAGGTTCATCGGTGTCTCCGCGGCTCTCTGGTGAAACCAACCACCATCAGTCAGATAAATAAATCCCTACAGAGAATCAGAAAGTGGCTGTCCATATAGGAGTGTCCTGCCCATGATGGGCCCTGGGTGGATAAAGAGCTTGATCCTCACTATAAGCCCTGTTGTGTTTTTTATGGAACACATTAGCACAACTCATGCTGATGCCTGTTGTGGAAAATGGTAGTCAGGGCATGTGGCGTTTGGGTGGGGCTGTGGGTTGGTGTACCGGCAAACCCATGAGACTGTAGAAGACATTTGTCGCATCCTAGTAGGCGAAGGGTCGTTTTGGATCTTAGCCTCATTTTGAATCGAGGCGGTTGAGTGGGACTGGCACTGACTCTAGGTGATAGTAACCTTCCCCGATCGTAAAAACCACTGTGCCGTGCTTCGGTTCACAGGGGGCGGACGGTAAAGCTGGAACGAAGATCGCCACACCCCGGGGAGCGGCCCCTCCAGGCCAGAAAGGCCAGGCCAATGCCACCAGGATTCCAGCGAAAACCACGCCCTCCCCAAAGACCCCACCGGGCACCGGTAAGAAGAACATTCTGGAATCCACGTCAGGGGCAGCTGTCAGCATGTGCCCTCCTCCTCTCCGAAGGCCCCTGACAGTTAGCCACTTCTGGTAGCTGACGGGCACCTACAGTTCACTAACCGCCAGATGCTCATTTTCTTTGTAATCCTTTTGAAAATTTTCCAAGGTAGATCATTGAATCCCCACTTTTGATCAGTGAAGAAATCAAGACCCTAAGAATTTGTATGAATAAGTCTAAGCAGCTCACTTTAAGCATGAGGAGAATGCAGCCGTGTGATTAACAGTGGCAGGATGGGACACCTGGGTGGCTCAGTCGGTGGGGCGTCCGACTTCGGCTCAGGTCATGATCTCACGGTCTGTGAGTTTGAGCCCCGCGTCGGGCTCTGTGCTGTCAGTTCAGAGCCTGGAGCCTGCTTTGGATTCTGTGTCTCCCTCTCTCTCTGCCCCTCCTGCACTCACGCTCTGTCTCTACCAAAAAATGAATAAACGTCAAAAAAAATTAAAAAAATAAAACAGTGGCAGGAAAAGAGATTGGCTGAGGTTCTCTAACCCCCAAGTCCCGGGCCCCCAGGAGGTGTTTTTCAGCCCCCTAGTGAGACGTGTGGCTCCGTGTCTCTGGATAGGTCACTATGGGTGACCTCACATTGGGTGTGGCCCTTGCACACTTGAACTTGCTGGGAGTGGGCCCTTTGGCAGAGCACCTGCCCGCTGCCCGATCCCCTGTGCCCGTGTGAGTAAACCCAGTTAGTTTGGGGAACCGGGCAGGGAGCGATTCCGCTCCTGCTCCTAGTGGTGCTATAAAGTGTAGAGTTGCCTTCTTTGGGGGATGGGAGACAGCCAGGCTCTCCCACAGCCCCCGGGGGTCTGTCCCAGGCAACTGGGTTTAGATTCTGCACAACTCAAGGGGCATCTGGCCTGTGTTGGCTTTAAGGAGGTGCTCAGGGGCCTGTGGATGTTGTACGGGTCTCGAGAGGCCTGGACGAGTCAGTGGTCTCTCCGCCCTGCGCTGGCCCAGGCAGGGAGCTCGGAGCCCTCGGTGTGTGTGTGTTTTTGCTGTGGTGTTTGCCTGCTTTGCCCTGGGGTGGTGCCTAAGAGGACGGCTGCTCATTAACACGCATTGGTTGTTTCTCCTTGGATGTAATTCATTTGATAACAAGGGTAATTCACAGAATTGTGATTGGATTTTGAAAGTGATTTTGATCCTGCTTTTCTTTACTTGGCCTTCAGCTGGTTGACTCACACAGCTGGGAACATGCATTTCTCTTCGGGTCTTACCTGCTTTTGGGTGGCAGCTTCCTGGTGCGCACATCTCCCCTGCGGGCCACCTCGCCCTGTCTCCTGCCAGTCGGGACCCCTGCTCCCTGAACACATTCCCTGCCCGGCTCGCTTCCGCCGTCTGGCCTGGCTGGGCATGGCTGGTGCCTACAGACAGCATGAAGAGCTCACCGAGGCCCTGTTTAAGCTTCATTATAATGAGTCTTCCTGTGGATTTTTCTTTTTAAGCTACCAAGCAAGTGCAGAGAAAACCACCCCCTGCAGGGGCAAAATCTGAGCGAGGTAATTCTGAGGCCGCTTTGAGTGCCCCGTGGGGCACTTTGCTTTTCGTGTGTGGCCATTTGCTGGCTTAGGTTTTTAGAGCGGAGGGGAGAGGACCTGCTTCTGAAACGTGCGTGTCCCACGTTGAACCTGAACGCGGAACCGTCAGAACTCCCGCTCCTCGTGTGTGGCATATGCAGACGTGTCTGTCTGATGGGCCTTTTTATTCCTGCGTGTTCTCGTTTACTCCAGCTGAGGCTTTGGTGGGGGCAGGGAGCATGTGTCTCCAGCTGCTGGTGGGTGCTGGAAGCTTGGACCAAGGTTTAGGTGTGAAATTCCCTGCGGGCATTTATTAAACGCACATGTATTAAACACTCCCCCCTGTTACTACAGCCAGCCTTCAAATCAGCACTGTGGGCTGTGACCTCTCTCCCCATCTTCCAGATGGGAATACAGGCTTAGGAGGCTGAGTGGTTTGCCCACGGTCGATGTGCAATTACGTGGCGCAGAAAGGGTTTGTAACTAACACCAAGCCCAGTGATCAGCCTGTGTGCCTGGAGGCTGGGTTGGGGGGCGGGGGGCGGGGCAGGGGGCTGAACCTGGAGCGGAGGCCCTGTCTGTTGTTTCCCCATGTGGAAAAGGAGGAAAAAAAAAGCTTCGTCTGTCCTGTTACCAGAGCTTGATGCCATTAGGAACATCCAACAGATGTGGAAATTCAAACTCAAAAAAATGCGGGTGGCTGTCCTCTTGATGGGAGAAGTCGCCTTTTTGCTGCCACATGATGCTTCCAACCAAGAGCCATCCTTCTCCAGGCTGGAGCCTACAGGTCCCCGTTTGGTACAGAAGGTTCCTGGCGCAAGGGGCCAAGGGATCTGGGAAGCTTGGAGGCGGCCGTAGAGCCCAGACACCCCCAAAGCTGAGGGGAGCCGGGCCCTCACACCGGCACAGCATTCAGCCCCGTGGCTGTCAGACTCCATTGTGCTCAGGAGTCCCCAGGGAGCTTGGGGGGCACCTGCGTGGGTGGCTCACTGGGTTGAGCGTCCCACTTCAGTTCAGGTCATGATCTCATGGTTCACGAGTTCAAGCCCCATGGGCGGCCCTGTGCTGACAGCTCAGAGCCTGGAGCCTGCTTCGGATTCTGTCTCCCTCTCTCTGCCCCTCCCCCGCGAGTGGGGGCTCTCTCTGTCTCTCAAAAATAACCAAACATTAACAAAAAAGAAGAAGAAGAAGAAGAAGAAGAAGGAATTCTCCTGGGAGCTTGGGAAGAACCCATAGTACAGGCCTTCAGCCCAGGAGGCTCCGTCATGCCAGGTCTGGACGGGCCCAGGGATCTGCATCCTATGGGTCTCATTTCTGACTCGAGGCTCTGGACGTTCTGATGCAGGGGCCCCTGGGCCACGCTTGGAGAAACACTGCTTCATGGGGCAGAGGGAATAGTAACTATGGAGTGGACAGGGGCATGGGAAGTGCAGGGGGGAAGCTGCTGGGGAGCCCGGGACGGAGTCTGTCGGGGAGAGAACAGTCCCAGCAGCCTTCCTAAAAGTTTGCAAAGGCGCAGGGATGACTGCGCATGGGCGCAGCGGGGGAGGGAGCTGTTGGGGAGGGCACGGCGGCACGAGGCAGCGTGGCTTGGCTGGAGAGCTAGAGACGGGTGGCCACGAAGCAGGCGTACATTCGTCGACCCCACTCACCACAGAGGAGTCAGGGAGTGTGCGCAGGGGCCTGCTGGGATAGAGGCCTTGAACTTGCTGAACAGCTGAGAAGCCACCCAGTGGGCAAAGGGTCTAACAGACCCAGACAAGGGCACCCCCCTGGTCCTGTCCCTGTGTCACCCTTACTCGGGGAAGGGCCATGTAGAATTGTGCTGGTTTTACAAAGCACATCTACAGGCATCTGTGCCTGGCGCCCCTCGCTGCGGCATTAGAATTCTCTCCCTGTTTGAGCCGAGGCCCCTGAGCTCTGAGAGGGAACATGACTTCTCTGGGACCACACGGCGTGTTGGAATCTCTCTCTTGACTCCAGGGCCGTGGGGCAGAGATGGTCCCCTCGGGGAAGGCTACTGGGTGGTCCTTGGTGACCACTCTCTTGCTTCTCTGGGAAACAGGGAATCTCGGTCCCTAAGCAACAAGGCCCAGAGGAAGAGACATCTCTCTAGAAATGAGAGCAGGGACAGCCTCCTGCCGGTTTAGCTGAGCTTCTGGCCTTGTTCCCACCTGCCTAACTGGCTCTGAGTCTGGGAGTGGGCCCTCAGGACAGGCAGCCCCCCCACCCCCACCCCGGGCCTTTGCTGGCTCCCACCCACCCCAAGCACCGGGCTCACCCCCTCCTCTCTCTCCAGGTGAATCTGGGAAATCTGGGGATCGCAGCGGCTACAGCAGCCCCGGCTCCCCGGGCACCCCCGGCAGCCGCTCCCGCACCCCGTCCCTGCCGACCCCGCCGACCCGGGAGCCCAAGAAGGTGGCGGTGGTCCGCACTCCACCCAAGTCGCCATCTTCAGCCAAGAGCCGCCTGCAGACGGCCCCCGTCCCCATGCCAGACCTGAAGAATGTCAGATCCAAGATCGGCTCCACCGAAAACCTGAAGCACCAGCCAGGAGGCGGGAAGGTAAGGGCGCTCAGAGGCCGGCTGGGTGTGTGCCCGTCCCAGGACAACCAGGAGAAGGTGTGTGGGTGCCCCCCCCACAGTGACTCTCACCTCACATGGCACCCCAGTCCCTCCCGGATCTCTTCAAGGAAAGACGGCACGTCATGGCTCCATTCTGTTTGGGCGTCCCCACCAAGCCGTGAGCGCTCTCCCTGCTCAGGGGAGAGAAAGTACTGGTTCTTTCCTTTCCTGTTTGGGCCTCTGCTGACGGGACAGTATCTGAGACGACAAGGGTTGGTTGTCTCTCCATGGGGTAAAGCCTGGGCGTTCTCCAAGTGGAGGCACCCGCAGAGGTTCCCCAACCTTCTATTTAGAACATGATGCAAGCAGTCTACAGGTGAGTGCGTCTGGCATTCGTTAGACGTTAGGTTAGGTTTCTCTCGAATCCTCAGTTCTGAGGAAATTTGGGGTGCCGTTTGGAACAAGCAATTCCTCAGAGCCGGTGGGCGCTCATGAAATCTTTGGGTTTCCTAAAGGTGGAGAGACGTGAGCGTCCAAGGGCGTGAGGTGGTGGGAGATAGGGACTGACCTGGACCCCCTTCCTCCTCTTCATGTCCCTGCCCCCCCATTGTATGAGTGTCCTAAGGCTGACGTAGAAAATACCACAGACTGGGCAGCTTCTATAACAGAGGTTTATTTCCTCACAGTTCCGGAGGCCAGAATACCAAGATCAAGGTTATCAGCAGGACCAGTGTTTTATGAGGTCTCTGCTTGGCTTGTGGATGGCCGCCTTCTCGTGTCCTCACGTGGTCTTTTCTCTGGTGCCTCTGTGTCCCAGTCTCTCCTTCCTGGAAGGACACCAGTCATACTGGATAGGGGCCCACCTCTTTAAAGACGTCATCTCCAAATACAGTCGCGTTCTGAGGCACCGTGAGTTAAGACATCAGCATATGAATTTTGGGGGACACGGGTCGGCCCGTAACAGCCTGTCTCCCCCTCCAGCACCAGGAAGGGGAGTGGAGAAGGGAGAATAGGTGGCATGTATGGGGGACAGAGGACCACGACTCCGCTCTTAGGAGCACAGATGTGTTTGGCCTCCTTGGGCTTGGGCCGTCTTGGGGGGCGACGAGCCTCTGGCTGTGCTGGGGGGAGCATTACGGCATCCGGATCCAATGTTTCCCTTCTAGTTAGAACCATGTGCCTCCCCCACAGCGGGGGCCTTTGCAGTATTGACGTTATTTATCGCTCGTGGCTGACGTCTGGGTCACCGTGAGGGGAGGGCGTCTCAGCGCTTTCTGTCCATGTTGGTGCCTTAATTGAAACCCTGTGCCTTGGTCCCCATGGAGCCTCAGGACCTCTCCCTGGCCTTTCCCATCCCGGGGCTGTAGAGTCCTGCCCAGTCGGGAGGCCTGGGTGCCTCCTGGGGTAAAGCCCTGGGTCTCATGGCCACTGGTCTTTGGTCCACAGAGTTGGCCTTGTTTACTTCCCGTGTTTACTTTTCTGCAGTGTTTGCCTTGGCTGCTCCTTGTAAAGATGCCCATCTCCTTCCAGAAGGGGCTGGAAGCTGGGGCAGCCGGGGTGTTGACTTGAAGTTGGCCCCTCCGGGAGGTTCTCGGCAGAGGGATCTTCAGGAATAGTGTTTCCAAGGTGGTGGGGTGTTGGCCACTGGTGGTCGCACAGGCCCCTCAGCACCGACAGCGTCTGGTGTGTGTGCCCTGTTCTCATGACATAAAGTGACCGTTTGCTCCTCGCTTTGAAAAAGGAAAAACAAAACACCCACACGGCCAGTCCTGCACCTACAAGAAGATGGTGGCTGTGACCAGCATCTCACAATGACTCGTCACTGAAAGAGAGAAACTGTCACCATCAGCATCTCCAGCCCGAGGGCTGTCACACAGCAGCAAACACTCACTTCTTCCTGCTGGCCCCAGGCTGCACCTGCATCAGCCCAGGCTGTACCCCCACCAGCTCAGGCTGCACCCCCACCAGCCCTGAGTTCCTCCGACATCAGCTTGGAAAGCGTGGGTGCTCCTGGCCTGGCTCCAGCAGTTCTGCAGAGAACTCGGGGCCGGGGCTGAGCATGTCCCACTGGAGACCCTTCCAGGGCCGGAATCTGCCCCTTGCACCCAGGACTGCCCCGTCTGTGGGGGAAGAGGAGTCCAGTGGAAGAGAGCCAGCAACCAATGCTCAGCGTGGAAATGCTCCCAATTTGGGGCGCAGGCACAAAGCTGTCCACGTCTACCGAAGGGTTAAAGGGGAGAGGGCAACTATCCAGGACTCTCTGGGGGAGGAGGCAGGAAAGTGGCAAAGGGAGGAGTAACAGCTTCTCTTAAATCCCATGGAAAACCCAGAAAATTTTCTGAAACAAAGAAACCTTCAGCCATGACAAAGAGCAACACTAATCTCCCGGGGAAATGAAGGGAAAAGAAACAGGAAAGAAGAAGGCACATGGGATCCACAGAGAAGGCTTTTAAAAGGCCCCGACTGCAGGTCTCCTGAGGTCTCCTTGAGACCTTTGGGGGCCCTGTGGCGTCCCACAGTGTCCTGCATGCAGCAAGTTCTGTGGGTGTTTACGCTGCAAAAGGGTCAGCGCTGTGAGTCTGAAGAACAAACGCAGCTCCCTCCCTGCGTAGATGCTCACACCGAAGGAGGAGGTAAAGGGTTCAGTTTGCAAACCTGCAGAGACTGAAAACCGCAGAGGATTGATGTAAATCAGTGGTTGGAAAAAAAATGCAAAACACCTGTTTACTGCTCTGTACTTCGCTCTGTTTTCACGATTTGCTGTTGTGAGCAGGTATTGCTTGAAGAGTCCGGAATGAAATTATTTTTTTTAACGTTTATTTATTGAGAGAGAGCGTGTGCGTGAGAGCACAGGCCCGGGAGAGGCAGAGAGAGAGGGAGACACAGAATCTGAAGCAGGTTCCAGGCTCTGAGCTGTCAGCACAGAGCCTGACACGGGGCTCAAACTCACGGACCGTGAGATCATGGCCTGAGCTGAAGTCGGACACTCCATGGACTGAGCCACCCAGTCGTCCCAGAACGAAATTATTTTTGAAATCGCAGATAAGCACTTGGCCACTTTAACAGAACCAGCTGAATCCACCAGGGGCTGGGGGAGAAGGGAAGGCAGGCCAGCCACGCAGACAAGCATACAGCTCCCTGGGGGAGCAGCCCTTCCGCCTGACTGCTAGAGGATCACCTGAGGGCCGGGGGGTGGGTTGTTTGAAAAATCTTGGTGCCAGAGCCTTCCCCCGGCCCATTAGGATCTCCCGGGGAGTCTCCCCAGATGTTCCCAATGTGCAAGCTGAGGCCCAGTGTCCCCAAATTCTTATCCTGCTGGCCTCTGGCCTCAACCCCCACTACTAGGGTCTCCTGCGTACCCTGGATCTGATGGCCGGTTTTTCCTCTTTCAGTCCTTGACCCTGTTTTCAGATTCCCTCCACCTGCCTCAGTAGGCTCGTTCCCCACCCAGGCCAGCCCCTGTGTCCTGCAGCCCTGCCCTGGGTTTGTCCCAGCCCTGTTTGTCCCAGCCCACATTAAAAGAAAAACAGAAGGTCACAGAAAGTCCATGTAACTGAAAGGGGAAATTTTTAAATACCAGGAATTAAATTAAACCCACACCACTGAGGGTCCCCCACACTAAGGGTCCCCCACACCACTGAGGGTCCCCCACAGTGAGGGTTGAGGGTCACCACACTGAGGGTCACTTGACCAGCATCACTGAGGGTCACCTGTGTTATGGACTGTCCCCCGCAATGTGATATGTCACCAGCAAGTCAGACAAGACAGGACAGGCCCGTTTTGGAACCATCGTTGGTCTTTGAGTGCCAGGCACATGGGCCGAAGGAAGACAGTGAGAAACTACACCCTGGAGATGTTCAGACCAAAAGCAGAATAAAACTAGAAGTCACAGGGCTGGGGTGGCCAGGGGCACATGGGTTTAGGCTGGAGTTTTGTTCCTTTACACAAGAGCTAAGGGGGGTTGCCAGCCGATAGAGGGAGGTCCCTGCTGGGTCTGCGGTGAACCAGCTGGGAGTTTGCCCTGACAGGACAGGAGAGGACAGAGGAGGAGGAGGAGGAGGGCACTGCCCGCAGGGAGCCAGCCTCAGGCTCCATGGTCAGTGGGTCCTGGGGACTGAGGTTGGGAGAATCAGAGTTGAATAACCGGGCGGGTGAGGGCCCAGCAAGGTTAAGGCAACGCCGCGGAGAGCCCTCAGCAGCCCTTCTGTGTCAGTGGGAAGCACAGGGGCCCCAGGGACCGCCCAGGGTGGGAGAGGAGGAGCTCACTCAGGGCCAAGGCTGCCTGCTCCGGAGAACCAAGGCAGTGCCCGTGGCTGCCAAGGGTGGAAAAGGATTACAAAGTCATGGCAGGAAAAGGGCACGGGGGCCCAAACATGGGGTGGTCTGGTTGGTTCTGAGCAGATGGAGCTAAAGTCACGTTCTCTGAGGATGTTCAGGCCAGTGGCTGGGATCGGCCAGGCAGGACGGAAACCGGCAGGAGCTGAAGGGCCTTGAAAGCCTTGGGCTGCAATATTCCAGGCAACCACAAGATGACGACAGAATGCTGTGTCTGTCTCCATCCTGGAGAACTGAAGTCTGTATCTTTAACATTCATTATAGTCAGTGACAAAGTCCCAGTTCTCATTTTGAAAAGCAGACACATCTAGGGGTGCCTGGGTGGCTCAGTCCGTTAAGCGTCCGACTTCGGCTCAGGTCATCATCTCACGGTTCGTGGGTTCGGGCCCCACCTCGGGCTCTGTGCTGACAGCTGAGAGCCTGGAGCCTGCTTCAGATTCTGTCTCCCTCTCTCTCTGCCCCTCCCCAGCTCATACTCTGTGTCTCTGTCTCTCAAAAAAGGAAATGTTAAAAAAATTAAAAAAAAAAAAAAAAAAACCAGACACGTCAGACCTTTACATGGAGTAAATTAAGTCAGTTTGTACCTGGGGTAGTCTGCCTCTCCTAGGTCAGGGCCAGCTATAACTAAGCTAAACCTGAGCTAGGGTGCCAGGTCCTGCAGAACAGGGCTGGGACCCTCCCCTGGGACAGCCCTGCAATTTCCTGACCTTCTGGGCATCTCCCCCTGCACATGGCATCTTTCTGAACAATCTTGTACAAATCCCATCGTTTTGAAGATGCACTGGGTATGTTGACCCTAGTGGAGCCAAGATGCTCCCACCAAGCACCAGGCCATGCTGGAGACAGGCCTTTCCGGGGACGGCCAGTGGACACTGGGCCAGCCTGGGAGCTCCTGGGGGAGGACTGGGCCATCTGGAGCATCTTGAGAGCTCTGAGCTCAAACGGAATCAGATCAAGGCCCAGTGAGGGTTTGGGACAGCTTCATGTCCTTTAGTCACCCTCCACCCCAGCCTCTCCTCTAGGATCAAACCCTGACCACAGGAAATTCTCCCTTGACTGTGAGTCCCCGAGATCAAAATTTGGAGCCTCGAAAACATTGTTCTGTCCTTTGATGAGGATTTTCAGTGTCTGGCCAGGGCTGAGGGTCAATATCACACATATTGTTCTAGCTGAGAAATTAAGTTTCAGGATTTCAGTTTCGTAATGCCAACTCTTTTATCCCCCTTCTGTAAATCTAACATTCTGTAAAGGGTGTTGACTTAATTTGACGACTAACAGTAATTCAGGTCTGCTTCGTCTATTGCCAAATCCCACAAAAAAACTTGCTGCCCTTTTTTTCTTTTGGTGTGGGACTGGAATAAGAAAAAGCCACATTAAAAAAAAATTGTATGTATATTGCAGATCTTATTATTGCTTAATGTCACTTGCTTCATTTGATGAATCTCTTTAAATGGATTAGTTCAGAAAATAACGTTACCTTCCTTGAAAAACTGGTTTTTATTGTCAGATAAGGAGAGTTAGGTAGCCCATCGAGTTTCCCTTTTTGCTTTGGCTTCCAGGAAGCTCGGAGTTCAATGTAATTATGTCTAATTGTCAGTCCTGATGACCTCTGCTTCTTTTACCATTATCCTTTTAATTTTGTTGTTTTGCTATTTCATGTGTTTGCGTGTGTTTTCTAATACTAAACAGCTCCAATTCCTTGGTGAAAGGCAAAGTCTGCTTCTGGGACTTATCCAGTGGAAAGTGATGAGTAAAAAATGATCCCCACAGAAGGAGTTCATGTCCCACTCCTTAAAATCTGAGGGTGGCCCGAAGGGATTCAAAGATACTATGCAGAGGGCGGCGGTAGCTCCTTAAGAAGCAGTGTGAGAAAGCCTGTTCCATTTGCTGCCCCAGCACAGGCCCGGGGCCGAGGCACTGTCCCTGCAGCCCCTTGCTGGCAGGAGAGAATTTTGAGGCTCACAAGAGAGTGTTGTTTGTACTTGGTGTATGAGAACCCCGGCTTAAGGACCGCTGGGACGAAACTTTGTTGTCACGCAGGTAGGTAGGTAGCCTGTGGTTGTACCACTGACTTGAGAAGGTTACTTAACCTCCCGGGGCCTCAAGTGGCCTCCTCGTCACTAAGTTAGGGGCACGGCAGGTGCGAAGGATGAGGTGGAGTTAGATATTCTCCCAACCCATTCACCCCAGATGAGGGTGGTGTTTACGTTTAAAAACAGAGAAGAAGGGCACCTGGGTGGCTCAGTCAGTTGCACGTCCCACTTGTGATCTCAGGCCATGATCTCACGGTTCCGGAGTTCGAGCCCCGCATCGGGCTCTGCGCTGACAGGGCGGAGCCTGCTTGGGATTCTGTCTCCTTCTCTCTCTGCCCCTCCCCTGCTCGCAGTGCTCTGTCTCCTCTTCAAAATACGTATACTTTAAAACAACAGAGAAGAGAAGACAAAGGAAGACTTTGAATATATAAAGATGTAAACATTTGTAGGAAAAAAGTCACCTATGAGCAAAAAGGGGGCAAAGGAGCAACTCTGTAATAAAAAAAATGCAGAATAAGCCAACGATGCAACCCCATTTATTTAAGTCAAAGAAAGCAGACCGATTCTTTACATGCCTGATGCTGGGAGCTGTGCAGTGAAATGGACTTTCTCAGCGGTGCTCACAGGGTAGAGTGACCCAGCCCCTTCAGGAAGCTGCTTGCAGAGGTGTACGGAGAATTTTTAGGGTATTTATTACTTTGACCCAGAAATTCTACTTCTGGGACTCTGCTATGAAATAATCCATAATATGGAAAGAGCTCCTTGCAGAAGGATATTTATGGTGAGGCTGTTCCTGTTATTTAAAATGGAATCGATACAAATGTCTGATCACACAGATAACACAAAATGGAATAGAACCTATTATTTCTTAACAAAGTTTTTTAAATATATATATTTTTTTGGGGGGGAGAGAGAGAGAGAGAGACAGCACAAGCGGGGAAGGGGCAGAGAGAGAGGGAGACATAGAATCAATCCAAAGCAGCTCCAGGCTCTGAGCTGTCAGCATGGAGCCTGACGCAGGGCTCGAACCCATGAACCGTGAGATCATGACCTGAGTGGAAGTGAGACGCTTAACCGGCTGAGCCACCCAGGTGCCCAGAATAATCCTTCTGATGACTGTAGACAAGGCAGATGCTTAGCAGATGATGTTACTTGTTAAAGCAAGATACATTATTGTATGTAAGTAATTACCACCATTTATATGTACATGATGGTAGTTTTATTTATATATGTGTGATTTCAAGGGAATATCACAAAATGAAATTGTGGTTGTGGTAGGGTGGCAGGAAAACCGTTTTTTGCTTTGTTTAAACTATTTTTCAAAATCATAATGTTATGTTACTTTTCTAATGAAAAATACATAGTTTTTTATTTTATTTATTTTTATATTTTGAGAGAGAGAGAGAGAGAGAGAGAGAGAGAGCATGAGAGTAGGGGAGAAGGGCAGAGAGAGAAGGAGAGAGAGAATCCCAAGAATCCCAAGCAGGGTCCACACTGAGGCAGGGCTCGATCCCACGACCCTGGGATCATGAGCAGAGCTGAAATCAAGACCCGGACACTCAACCCACTGAGCCACCTAGGCTCCCCCATAGCTTTTTATTTTAAAGGAACATAAAAGAAAATGAAAAAGGGAGGTTAGGGGGCACCTGGGTGGCTCAGTGGGTTGAGTGTCTGACTTCAGCTCAAGTCATGATCTCACAGTCTGTGAGTTAGATCCCCACGCTGGGCTCTGTGCTGAGAGCTCAGAGCCTGGAGGCTGCTTCGGATTCTGTGTCTCCCTCTCTCTCTGCCCCTCCCCTGCTCGTGCTCTGTCTCTTTCTCTCTCTCAAAAAATAAACATTAAAAGTTAAAAAAGAGGGGCGCCTGGGTGGCGCAGTCGGTTAAGCGTCCGACTTCAACCAGGTCACGATCTCATGGTCCGTGAGTTCGAGCCCCGCGTCGGGCTCTGGGCTGATGGCTCAGAGCCTGGAGCCTGTTTCCGATTCTGTGTCTCCCTCTCTCTCTGCCCCTCGCCCGTTCATGCTCTGTCTCTCTCTGTCCCAAAAATAAATAAACGTTGAAAAAAAATTAAAAAAGAAAGAAAGAAAAAATGGGGGGTTAGATATGGGCTTACCAGGTTTTTAGATCCAGACCAGGAAAACGAAGGGAAAAAAAAGGGATGGGGTCCGAGAGAAGATTACTCTGTTTTTATTCCGTCAGGCTAAGGACATCTCAAAATGCTAAATATGGTCTACTATCAATGTAATGTGATAACTAATAATTTAATAAAGGAAAGGCCATTTTCACACCAACAAGTAGGATGGACAGAATTTTGCTATCACGTCCTCATTTCCCCATTTTGTGAGGACCTGTGGCACCCTTGATGGCTGACTGTGGCTCCTGGGTCAGAGTTTGGGACCCTTCTACCCGCAGGAGCCGGGCCAGGGCTCCGACCCCCAGCCACAGCCATCCTCACGGATCCTGCGTCTCTGGAGCCACGGCCCCCGCCTGGCCACGCTGAGATCTCGGTGCCATTGCCAGAGTTTCAGAGAGCCACGCCGGCTCTTACTCGGGAAATCCAGTTGGCCGCGGTTATCAGCGATGAATGGGAAACTAAGGCACAGTTTGCAAGCAGGGAGCGCCTGTGGGGCAAGACACCTGTGATAAAGAGGTCGCCCAGCCCCAGCAGAGGTAACGGGGAGGTCTCCTCTGTGCCACGGTCGTCTGTGCATTTCCGTTGTTAGACAAATCGGGTAAAAAAATCACTCACCGCTAAAACAGTGATATCCCCGCACCGCCTCCCTGGTGCCTGGAGAGAGAAGCCTCTTAGAAACACAGGGGGACCACAGCTTTCTGGACCACAGCTCCTCAGGAACATGTGCCCGCTTCCCTTTAAGCCCCTGGCGGCCTTGTGGACAAGCGCGAGCCGATGGATAGAAGGTCAGGCACCTACCCTGCCTTCCAGGTGCCAAAGCCCTCACGTGGAGGGGTGTCTGGATCCGTCTTCTCCAGAGTCATCTGTGTCTCTTCCCCGTGATGGCAGCGATCCCCAAACCTCGCCGTGCGGCCGAAGCACCAAGGGGAGGCAGAGATTCTAATTCTAGGTCTGGGTGGGGTCTGGGATTAAAATAGAGGGAGATCTATCTGTATGTAATCGCAGTGCCCACAGGCTTGAGCACAGCCACAGAAAGGTCTCGCGAACGTTCTGGTGGGCCTGGTGGGTGTGCGCGAATGAGGACACAGATGGCGCTTTTTATTCATTCATTTAAACACGTCATCGAGCACACCTCGCTCCGGCCCAGCCTGGCGGCCGCTCAGCTGCAATTTCCAGGCCTCAGATGTGCCCTCTGGGGGGCCTCCGTGGTGCAGCCCTTTGGTGAAGGGAAGAGCTGCCTCCCGGTGGCTGTGCTTTGCACACCCAGCTCGGTGAGGTGGAGCCTGCCCCGCCCGCAGTCACTCACGGTTCCGGAACCGCCTTCCTGGGGGGGGGGGGGGGGGGCTGCCTGGAAGCTGTGACTCAGACCTCCTGCCCTCCGCCTGGAACCTGGTCCCCGCCCTCAAGGCAGGAAGCGGAGTGTGTCAGGGCAGAGCAGGTGCGTCTGGGCGTGATGTGACATTCATCCTTTTTTCTGGCTGTCGAAGGTGCAGATAATTAATAAGAAGCTGGATCTTAGCAACGTCCAGTCCAAGTGTGGCTCAAAGGATAATATCAAACACGTGCCAGGAGGCGGCAGTGTGAGTATCGTCACACTTTCCCTGGGCCCGTTCCGTGGTTCTGGTTTGTAACAAGCGGCATGAGAATATACACTTGTGAGACATTGCAGAGAATAAACCGCCCTCGGGGGCAGAGTCTGTGCCCCCCAGGCTCCCTGCACCCGTGTCCACGGTTCTAGGAGGGGTGGGACCCCAGTACCTGTGGGGCCCCCGGCCTCTGCAGAAACAGGAGGATGGCTGAGCCTCTCTCCGGCCCAAACCTGGAGGCCAGGTCCTCACGGCATAATACCCCGGGTCCACCCCACCCACCGCCCGGCACGGGCTCCTGGGAGCCCCGCCGCCCGTTTGAGGTTGGGAGGGAAGGGGCAGCGTCTGAGACTGGGCTCTGTCCCCTCGTCCCCCGTGGACGGACAGCCCTGTGGGCGGCTGGCACGTCCGTTCTGATGAGCAGACGCAATGTTTTGCTGTCCTCACTCAGAGCAGGAAAAGTCCAGTCCCTGCTCGTGTTTGTCTCCTGCATCTGCGAGGGACGAGCAGGTCCCCAAGCCTCGGCTCAGGTGTAAAACCGGCCCCTCTCCTGGCAGAGACTTCAGGGGAAAAATAGCCCCCAAAAGTGCACAGGGGACCCTGCCTGCGGCGCTTGGGAGTTGACAGAGAAATGCTGCCTTGGAGCCTTTTACATTAGGCTCCCTCCAAATGTCGTGGGGACGCCTGGTGTCCCTAGTGGGGGAGTCCCTGAGGTTTGGGGCCGGCCTCCTCACCTCTCACCTCCATCAGCTCTGCTGTTCCCCTCCCGGCCACTCCGTGGTCGCTCACCGTGGGTACGGACTGGGCCTCCCGCGGCCGGGCCCCTCTTCTCTGCGGCCCCTAACCCAGCCTCTGGGTTGACTGGAAACCACATTTAAACACATCAAAGTGGGAGGGTCGAGCCCCTTTGAGGTCCACCCCCGGCTGGGGGGACGGTTTCTGAGAGCAGGTGCCTTGCTCCTGGCTGGCAGCCAGGAGGGTGGCAGGGGGCGGGGGACAGTGGTAGCCCCAGGCGGGCTGTCTCTCCAGAACGTGCCCAGCCTGGGCCCGCACCTCTGCGCCCAGCCCCGAGGTTTATTCTTGCAATGTGAGTCTGTCTCCCGCCCTGAGCTGCATGGCGCTTCCGTAACGCTTCCTCACCAGTGTCTGCTCAGCGTTTTCCTCTGTGTCCCCAACCCTGCTCTCCTGTCCCGCTGCTACCAGAAGGAAGGGGAAGGTGTGAGGACCACCCCCCACCCTGGCCCACAACCGTGGGCTCCGCGCAGAGTGCTGGTTGCTGTGTTAGCTCCGCCTGGATCTCTGGTATCACTGTTGCAGACCTTGGCTCTGGCCGGAGGAGCGAGGCCTGTTCTCTGGTTTAACTCCTGTCTGGTCGGCCGGCAGGAGGCTGTGCTGGTGGGGCCTGGGCTGTGGGGTCCAGAGGTAGCTTCAGGCGTGAGCTCGGGGCAGACGGTACATTCCCACTGCTGATGGCAGTGCCCAGGACATGAGGGGACTTCCTCGAGGGCACCTCCTGTGCTCCCGCCCTCTCTGCCCGCCTCCGGCTAACCTATGTGACCTGGCAAAGAGCCGCGGGATATCTCAGGCTGGCCCTGAGCATTGTCCTTGGAGCGTGGCCACTGCTGGTTTGCAGTAGGAACCTTCACAGGAAGCTCTTCTCCTGGTGGAAGGCGGCTGGGGGTTCTGGGCACCTAGCCAGGTGTTTTGGGGGCGCTAGACCCCTGGCCTGGGCCCTCCGGCCTCTGGCTTGTGGGCCTCCCTTCCCTAGCCTGGAGGGGATGTCCCAGCTGGCAGGCCCAGCTCCCTTGTCCACCTTGGGATCCTCCCTGCCTCCCGAGGGCTCTGGGCTCCACTCCAGGCCTGGCCTCCTCCCCCGCTCTGCCCCGGGGCCTCCACTCCTCCTGCCGCCCCTGCACTGGCTCCTACCCTCAGGCAGTCCTGTCCCCTTTGCCTCCTTCTGCACACCCTCCTCTCCCCAGGTTACCTCATCCGGGCTGAGGGGAAAGAGGGAAGTCTGGGTCACAGAATTTACTTCCCTCTCTCTCGTGCCAGGAGGAGCTCCCGTGGCCCCTTCCCTGCCTCTCAGCGCGCTGTCTCCCAGACCCTGTTCCCTCAGGACTGTTCACCCCCCGCCCGTCCACCTGCACGGGTGCCGGCTGCCACACCTGGGCTCTCCCCTTGCCTCACTCCACAGACACAGGCCAAGGGCGCCTGTTGGCCTCGGTCAACTCTCCATCAAGAAGTGGCAAACGCCAGCATGATTTTAATTAACTAAAATCATTTGGAATTGTTCCAGGTGATTTAGACAGAAGTAGATCTCCCTCCTTTTTTGTCTGGCTCTCTGGCTGGAGGCCATCTCTCTCCTGGGTAACTCCGGGCTCCCACTCCGTGGTGACTGGCCTCTTGTGGCCTCACACGGGTGGTTGCCGGAGGCCCTGGGAAGTGTCCCTCAGTGACCATCCAGGGACCCCCTCACAGACACGCCTTTCTAGAGGCTTCCTCCAGAAAACCCATCTGCCCATGCGGGGTTCCCTGTGGGCGATCCCATCCAGGGAGTCGGTTCTCGGGCTGAGATCGGTGGGGCGCTCAGCGGCTGTCGTTCCCCTCGGGAGGGTGGGCAGTGGGCAGTGCGGCCAAGCTGCGTGCTGGGCCCCGGGCCGGTTCTGAGCCCTGTGTGTGTCCGAGCTGTGCTCCATCTCTCGGGGACTGACCTGCTGGGTCCTCTGTGCCGTCTGCCCGTCTCCTGCTGTCGCTTTGCTCCTTGAGCTCGAGAACCGAAATGTCCGGGACGCTGTGTTATCCAGGTGCCGGCGGGCTCTTCCCTCCAAGCTGCCAAACCGCTCTGGGCGCTGCTTGCCGAAGGTCCCCACACTTGCCGCGGTGCTGGGCTTTGTGGGAGCCTCTCCTGAGAGGAAGCGCCCCCACCGACCCCACTCTGCCCGCTCCTCTTTGAGGACCAGCAGATGTGGCTTTCTGGCTTGTCCAACAAGATTGTCCAAGTGCGGTACAAATGGATCCCATGGATCCCTCCTTTCTTTGTCCCCACCGAATGCAGCGTCACTTTCAGCTCAGGAAAGAGTGACTCTTTTAAACGAACGGTGTGGGGCCTGCACAGTGACAAATACCCTTGTTTTCCCCCTGTGGGACCGAGGGCACTTCAATCCCACAGTCATTCTCTGAAGACCTACCTCCCCTGGGGCAGGGCTGGCAGAAATCCAACAACACATTTTCCCACCATGACCGGGTGCCTTCCTCGCGGCGGACAGGAAACGCCGTCCAAGCAGGGCCTCGACTTACACGGCTGCTTTTCGTGGGGTTACACCCGTAATTAAATCATCCTGTTTTATTCTCTGTCTCTCCCTCGTCCTCTCCCGCCTCCAGGTGCAAATAGTGTACAAACCAGTGGACCTGAGCAAGGTGACCTCCAAGTGTGGCTCGCTAGGCAACATCCATCATAAGCCAGGTAGCCCTTGCAGAAGGCGGGGAAGGTGGTGGGGGGGGGGGGAGGTGCGGGACGGGACTGGGTGGTGCCTTCTCCTAAAGTGGCTGGGAAGGATTGATGGGCTGGGCTGATGAGGGGAGCATCGAAGGTGGAACTTGCTGGGCCCTGGGAGGGGTGGCTCTCCCATCTCACTCCTGAGCAGGGCGCCATGGTGGCCAAGCCAACGTGACGAGGGGGGGCGGGTCCTAAGCCCTAACCTGGTTCTCCAAGCAGGCTGCACACAGAGCCTCTAGAGCTGGGGACAAGCCTGATCTGGCTCCCGAAGGCTGGCCTGTGGATGTTCCAGTTTGGTTCCCAGCCCACACAGGGGACACGTCACCGCCTGCGCCAGCCATTGCCAAACTCCGGCCGTGACTTTGTTTCGACAGTAAATGCCGTTGGAGCTCTGCCATGCTTCCCTCCCCGCTCCCCTTCCCACACCACAAGAAAATCAGAGCTATCTGGAGATCTCTCTGCGCTGATGGAAATGTTCTAGACCTGCTCCGTCCAGTGCGGTGGCCCCCAACCACACGTGGCTACTGAGCACTGAAAATGCGGCCAGCGCAGTGGACAAAATGAGCTAATTGTATTTAATTAAAATTTAAGTAGCCACATGGGGCTGGTGGCTACCGTATTGCCCAGCGTAGATCTAGATTCTAACTCCTGCCTGGGGGTCCAGAGTGGGGACTTCTGCCGTGGGCCCGGTTCAGAGCTGAATCCGCACTTGCTGAAGCATTCCTGTGGGGAGGGGAGACAAGGCTGGCAGAGATGTAGTCCGGATCGTCTCTCATCACGTTCCGGCTTCCCTTAGACTTGTTGTGCGAGTTTGGTCTCTCCCAGCGAAAACCATCCCTCAGCTGTGCCACCATTCGCGCCATGAGCAGCTTTCTTGGGTGGCCTTATCCTTCCCCAGAAAGGAAGGATGTCTGTCTGTCTCCCTCTCTGGCCGCGTCTCCCACACTCGGGTGCGGCGCCTAGTGTCCGAGGAGGGGGAGGGGTCAGGGCCCTTCCGTCGTTAGGGTGCATTTGGCCATTTAGTTTCACTCTGAGGCCTTGCAGGGCTGTGGCTTTACAGGAAGTTGACCAAGAGAGACTTCACTCTTTGGAAGCCGACCACTTTAGAATTTAGAATCTTTTCTCCTACCCTGAGTTGTCATTGACCTTTGCATGAACTAAGGAGGAAGAATTTGTTGAGCAAATATTGATGCACACCTTGGTTAGAGAGCAAACTGTTGTCCAGTCCAGCCCTTGGGAAGGGCTCTTACCTGTGCCCAGACTACCTTCTAAATGAAGGACCGTCTTGTCTACTCCGAAGGATTGGGGTCTACTTGGAATGGCTTGCTTAGCCCTCCTTCAAGGCCTGGTGCCCCCGTGTGTGTTGTGTTCCAGGAGGCGGCCAGGTGGAGGTAAAATCTGAGAAGCTGGACTTCAAGGACAGAGTCCAGTCGAAGATCGGGTCCCTGGATAACATCACCCACGTCCCTGGTGGAGGGAATAAAAAGGTAAAAGGGGGCGGGGTGGGGAGGAGGCTGCATTTAGACATGGCTGTTAATGGAGTGCGGCGCACGAATCTGGTCCGGTTTTCCAGAGAAGGGAAGCTGAGGGGCCTGAACTAATTGGCTTCCTGTGGATTCTCAGCGACCACCAGGACTCATCGGGTGAGCCACCTTCGCCGGCCATTGCTGTCACCTGGGAGCCTTGCCAGATTTGATGCCCAGACCCCACCTGGAGATTCTGATTGGTCTCAGGTGCAGCCTGGGCACCTGGAGTCTGTAAAGCCCCCAGGTGATGCTTTCATGCCCGGAAAGGTGAGCGCCGCTGTCCTCCGTGACGGCGGTCGGCCCTGTGGTTGGCAAGCGTCCACGGAAGGAAGTGGCCATCCATCCCCAAGGCCAACCCCAGCGCACCAGAACGAGTAAAGGGAGCATAACCTGATTTTGTAAGTGGGTCACTAGGCAGTCAGAGCAAAACGGTGATGCTGAAATCCAGATTCCCGCAGAGCCCCTGCCTGTCGGTCACAGAATCGTCCACGGGGAAGGCTGCTGGACCCAGGGCCTCGGCGATCCGGGCAGTTTCTGGAGTCCTCGGGTCTCGCTGTGGGAGCTGGGGGAAGGGGAAGCCAGGGCTTGCGGCCCTGAGCAGGCTCCCTCCGGGCGCATCACAGGATGTGGTCTTATGGCTGTACTTCTTTGCTGCAGAAACGCAGCCAAAGCGCTCTCTGGGGGGTTCCCACCCACTCCAGCGGCCGTGAACTTCTGGAAGTGGCTCATTTTCCAGTTTGCAGTGCCCCCCAGCAGCTGACAGAGGGGTGGTGGAAGGAGAAGGGGTGTCCCAGAATGGGCACAGACTCTGAGACCCGACCCAGCGTGAGAAAGGGCACTGGCCAAAGTGGCCCAGCTGGTTGGAAGTGGCAGCCGTCACACCATTCATTCTGAATGGACATGCCCCATGCCGCGTGTGAGGCCAAAGCCCAAGGGGGCGGTTCTGGAGAAGCACTGGCTGGTGTGGTTTTACTTAAAGCAGAGGCCACAGACTGAGACCTCAGGACAGACCTGACCACAGACGAGCTCCCCGAAGGCCGGGGCGCGGAGGGCGGGGTACTCACGCCCTTGGATGGCCTTGCGCTCTCTGGCTCCCCGCAGCACCCCGTCACCCCCCCACCCCCACCCCGGACAGCAGGGTGGACCCGGTTCCCCAGACTGGGCTTCCAAGGTGCAGAAATATCATCTCAGTGCCTGGTCCCTGGTAAAAGAGGGGCCGGGAGGCCGCATGCTTCAAGGGAAGTGAGGCAGGGCCCAGTTCTCTGAGGTTGTGGAGAAGGTTCTCTGCAAAAGCCAGGTGGCTCTTCTAGCTTCTGTCACCTGACCGCCTCCCCAGTTTAAGGCCTGGGCATTGGCGATTCCCTGGGTGAAGGAAGGTCTCTGCCCATCTCTGGAAGCTTCTATGTCCTGAGCAAAGCTCTGGGCTTGACTCTGCTTGGAGGTGGGACCTGGGCAGGCCGGGCAAGTGCTCTCAGCTCGTTTCTCCCTCAGCAAAATGGGACCGAAATATCCACATCCCTGGGTGGTGCTGAAACCCAAAGGAGATGGTGTTCTGGAAGGTTCCTGGTACTTTGTAACCAGCTAAGAACATGACTTAGAGTCAAGCCAGAGTGTGAACTTCCGTTTTAACTCACCTCTGTGCTGGCTGAGAAAGGGTGGGCCTGGCCCTGCCCACCACTCAGAAGTCACTGTCCTGACCCCAGAGTGTCCCTGCCTGTCTAGTCCCCCACTTCCTCCTGTGATGGGCAGGAAGCTCTAACAAGCGGTGGAGTGCAGGACCCCCGTCTCCAGAGCGCCCTTCAGTTTGGGAGATTTGGGGACTTATACCCACGTCCAAGCCCCCCCCCCCCACCACAACGGGGACTTCTCAGCCGGGGTCCACGGACTCCCGAGTTTGTGCAGAACGCTTGTGGGTCTCTGAGCGCCTGCCCGCTTGTGTCCATCTTTCTGGCTTCGCCAGATGCACAAAGGTCTTAGGACCCAAAAAAAGGAGAGAATTCCTGTCCGCCACTTCCGGGCTCAGCAGGAGCTCTTATAACTGCTCACATCTGCCACACAGGCTCTCTGAGGGTCGTGGGCATCCTCTGGAGCTAAGTACCTCTGGCCTCCTGGCCCTGTCATTGTTTCTCTCCTTGAAAAAGGACTTTATGGCACCATCGTTTCTAGCACACCTTCCAGGGCGGTTCATGCTTGCCGCCACCTCCAAAGTCCTCAGTCAAAGGCGAAGGGGAGGAGTGTGTGTGGCTCACGGCTGGACGGCAGTGACTCTGGGGATGTCCCTTAATCATCTCCAGCTTCTCCTTCATGCTTTACTTTGCAATTGGGTAATATTTTTTTTTAGAGAGAGGGCACCAGTAAGCGAGGGGCAGAGAGAGAGAGAGAAGCGGGGCCTCCCCCGGGCTCATGCGTTACCCGGAGCGGGGCTTGAGCTCACCCCATGGGTGACTCGAACTCATGAACTGTGAGCTCATGACCTGAGCCGAAGTCAGATGCTTAATGACTGAGCCACCCAGGCGCCCCATGCAGTTTGATGATATCTATTAAGATAAAATGCACATGTCTTTTGACCTACCAGCCATTCCGCTCCTAGGATACGGTTACACGTGTGTGAAATGACGTGCACATAGGGCTATATTCATACACGGTGCCAAGGGACGCGGGTGGCTGGCAGGCAGGCGCTGGAGGACCCGCGCGCAGGTGTTCACTCCGGGACGGTGACCAGACCAGACCACGGTCACCGCGGCCCCCCGGGGGGGGAGGGGGCAGGCAGGACTTGCTCCCCTTCCTATGGCTTAATTCACCCCTCCTCCCCTCCCCCCCCCAACTACCTCCTCTCTCGCAGATCGAAACCCACAAGCTGACCTTCCGCGAGAACGCCAAAGCCAAGACAGACCACGGGGCGGAGATCGTGTACAAGTCGCCCGTGGTGTCTGGGGACACGTCTCCGCGGCACCTCAGCAACGTGTCCTCCACGGGCAGCATCGACATGGTAGACTCGCCCCAGCTCGCCACGCTAGCCGACGAAGTGTCCGCCTCCCTGGCCAAGCAGGGTTTGTGATCAGGCCCCCGGGGCGGTCAATAATCGTGGAGAGAAGAGAGAGAGTGTGGAAAAAAAAAGAATAATGATCTGGCCCTTCGCCCTCTGCCCTCCCCCAGCTGCTCCTCACAGATCGGTTAATCGGTTAATCACTTTAACCTGCTTTTGTCGCTCGGCCCTGGCTCGGGACTTCAAAATCAGTGACGGGAAAAAGAGCAAATTCCAGCTTTCCAAATTGATGGGTGGGCTGGCGATAATAAAATATTTTAAAAAACATTTAAAAAGACGACCACACCCACCATTTCCTTGGGCAATTACTTTTGATTCTTTTTTTTTCCCCCTCTGCCTAGAAGAGGGAGGAGAGGCTCTGCGAGCTGCTTCTGGGGAATCTCAAGGGACTGCGGGCGCCCCTGCTCTGCCCTGTCCTGGGGGTGTCACAGAGGCAGCGGCAGCAGCAACGGATTTGAAACCGGGTGCCGTGTGGGAGCCGCGGGGGCGGATGTCAACTTTGTGGTGGGGGTTGGGGGAGGAGCCCCGGAGAGGCTGAGGCAGGGGAAGGGGGGGGAGGGCTGGGGCCCAAGGGCCCGTGGGGGAGTGGGTGATGGGGGGGGGCGGGGAGCCACTGCTCTCTGCCTGGAAGGACAGCGGGAAGGGCAGACCGCCTCGGCTGCCCACAGCTCGCTCGCGCCAGGCGGCCTCCCTGTGCTCGGTGGCCCGGGGTCCGCCGCGGGGCCCGTGTGCCACTGTCCCCGCGGGCGGCCCGTGGGAGAAAGGCTCCGGTTGGCGGGAGGAGGTGGTCGGTTGGCGGGAGGGGGGCACCCTGTGGATCGCTTCCTCAGAGAAGACTGACCTTGACGTCCCGAGCGCTGGCCTCTTTCTCCCTCCCCGCAGCGTGGGGGCCCCACGGAAACCCTGTTTATTGAGTTCTGAAGGTTGGAACTGCAGCCACGATTTTGGCCACCTCACAGTTCTGGGACTTTAGGGCTAAACCAGTTCTCTTTGTAAGGACTCGTGCCTCTTGGGGGCATCCGCCTGTTCCCAAGCCTGGGCCTCTGGCATCCCTGGAGCGTGCTGGGGTCTGGGAGGTGGGTCCTGAGCCTCCTGTCCCTCCCGTGGCCACTGCAGCCACCTGTCCTCCCTCCCCCCACCATGCCCATGTGTCTGCTGTGCGGAGCCCAGTCACTGCCTGTCCCCCTCATGATGTCACACTGTCCCGAGTTCCCAGCCTCACCACGCCCCTTTCTCAGCACTGGACGTTGTTCAGACGCAGGAGGCACCTGCTCTCAAATAAAGGGGTGTCTGAGCGAAGGCAAAACCCAGGCACAAGGTGAGATCTCGGTCCCTTGGTTTAAGTTATAACTCACCCAACCGGTGTGTCCCCTCACAATGAACCTGATGACCGTACTCCGTCCCTTACCCCCCACCTCTCCTCGCAGACGTGAGCCAGGGTGGGCTCAGCAATGACCCGGGATGTTTTGGCCTTGTTTCTACTTGGAGAGCCTTTTCCTCCCAGAAGGCCTGGTCCCCTTCCTGAGTTGAACCGGCAGCAGGTTGGCCGTCCTGGGTCCAGAGGCGGCAGCAGGTCAGGCAGGCAAGGCCCCTGGGGCAGGGCCACACTCTGTGCCCCGATTCCACCCGAGCTTGTGACTGCCAGCCTCTCCGAGGGCCCCGCCAGCGCTCAGCCCTGCATACCCCGGGAGGGGAGCACGCCCCCTCGGAAATGGTTCTCCCCCCCCCCCACCCCGTCCCAGCTGGAAGCAGTGCTGTCTGTCCTGCTGGAGCAGCTGAACATATACATAGACGTCACCTTTCCCTCCCCGTCTGCACCCTGTCGCATTGTAGTCTGATTTGTCTGTTTATGCTTGGATTCACCAGAGTGACTTTGATAATGAAAAGGTTAAAAAAAAAAAAAAAAAAAAAAGGACGCATGTATCTTGAAATGCTTGTGAAGAGGTTTCTAACCCACCCCACGGGGGTCCTAGATGTCTCTCCCTCCCACACGGGGGGCCTGGCTCCGGGTGGCCGGTGTGGCTCTACCCGGTCACAACCTCCTGATCTGAAAGGCTTCCGGGGCATCTGGGACCACGTTCTGACACTGGAGAACCTTCAGCTTGGAGGAAGGCCCAGAGCACAGGACTGGGACAGGATCCTGGGGCAGAAGCTACGGCGCCCCCTTGCCGCCCGGCTGGGACTTCCCTTTGTTGGGGCAGAGAGAGGTGGATCTTGTGGCCGGCCTGGTCTGCAGCAAGGAGATGGCCCTCTCCGGTCACAGCCAGAAGCCCCCAGCAGCCATGAGGGTCTTACGACACCCTGTGTCACAAAAGAAAGGAACCCGGGACCAGCCGGGGAGAGGCCTGGGGTCCCACTGCAAGCTGTACCCCTGGAAGGGCAGCCCCAGCCTCCCCACCAAGCGCCCTCCAGCCACAGCAGGGCTTGGATGGACTGGCCGCCCCGGATGAGCCCCGGGGGCCCGTGCTGCCTGACTGCAGCAGGGTGACAAGTCAGGAGATGCCGTCCCCAGAGCCTTGGTGGGGGCCCCCGCTGACCTTGCACAAGCCCCGTCTGCTGCCACGGGGAGAGGAGACAGCCTTTGTGGAAAATCGCCATTTTAAAGAAATTCAGCGACCTCAGGCCCAGTTCTGCCACTTCCGGTTTGGGCACCGTTTAAGGCACCCCTGCGGGCTGGTGGGCGTCCAGGGCCGCCTTTCTAGGGCTGGCGGCTTCATTTGCAGCTCGAGCTTTCCGTGCAAGGAGTCATCTGGGCCCAGAACTAACCCGCCGTGAGGCTCTCTGCCGCTTGGAGTCCCCAGCTGCTCTTAGAAGGGTTCTGAGGAAGGGAAGGGAACTGTGGTTCGGAGTTGGTAGCTCTTAGAGATGCGGCCCCGCAGCGTTGCCACGGACTCTGGCTGCGCCTCTGTCTGCACTTGCCCTACCTTATCCTGAGGGCCTTGCTCAGAGGGCTCCGGGATCTCCCTCGTCGGGGAGGGGGGCGGGGTGGGGACTGCTGGGGTCGGCCTAGAGATCACGGTCTAGGGTGACCAGGTCAGTGAGGCAGGGAGATTGCAAAGGGATGCTGGCTTGTGACCTTCAATGAGGACAATCCTCCCCTCCCCCCGCCACCACCAGGCTGGGCACTCTCGACCACCCCCGTTCCCCCGACGTCCGGTCTGCGTCCCCTGGGTGGGCTGTGCTGTGCGCCTGGTTCCTTCAAGCTCTCCACTCACTTATCCGTAGTTCTATTTAAACGGACTTCAACGTTCAACGCGGAGACTGTATCCTGCTTGCGATTGCTTGTCGTGCTTCTGGGGGGAGGGGGGAGGAACCTGTAAGATAGTTACCATGGGCAGAGGGAAGTCTTGGAGGGCAGCAACCACCGAGTAACCCTTTTCTTCGGACCACCCACGTTTGCTAGAGGTCCCTGGGGTCCCGCCAGCTGGCCCCGTCTCCTTCCCCACCAGGGGCAGGCAGTGAGGCTTGGGGAGGAGTCTGGAGACAGAGCTGCCCCCTCACGGGGGTCCCCGGGCCCACAGCCCCGCCTACCGCAGACCCCGGCACCCTTCCATCTATCCAAGCCGCCGGAGCCTCCACGCCACCTTTCCCACCTGCTGCTGCGGACGTGCAGCCTGTGCTAGCGGCTGCTGAGAGCTCTTCCTTCTTCCTTCCCCCCTCTTTTGTCTTTGTCCCCAAGTCAGGCCATCGGGTGGGGATGAGGGTGGAGGTGGAGGTGGTCAGCTCGTCGCACCTGCAGACCTGTGGCTTCGAGACTTCTGGTTTCTCTTCAGCTCTGAAAAGGGTTACCCTGGGCACCGGCCCAGAGTCCCCCCTCCTAATGGACTTAGCCCCGTGAATTTGCAGTGTTGGGCAGGACAATCTCTGGCACTCGCAAGTCCCATGATTTCTTTGGTAATTTTGAGGGTGGGGGGAGGGACATGAAACCATCTTAGCTTAGCTTCCTGTCTGTGAACGTCCATATGATGTATTGTGTGTTTTAACAAACGATTTACACTGATTGTTGCTGTAAAAGTGAATTTGGAAATAAAGTTATTACTGATTAAGTAAGGTCTCCGTGCGTGGATTCAAAGGACGAGAAAATGATTCAGGATGTACGATGTGCAAGTCCTTTCCTAACCTTAGAGAACTTCGCTCCCAGCAGGAAATGTCAAGGTTGCTAAAATCTCTCTCTGGGGCCTGCAGGTGCAGGAAGAGTTCTCAAGACTCGTTCATTTTCACTCGATTCTGATTCTGGTGCTGGGAGTCCGGCCCGATCCAACTCAAAGAAAGGCCAGTACCCTTGTAGGTGGGCTCACAAGGCTGCACTCCCAACTCCAGAGTCTGTTAAGACCCACACCGGCATATTCAGAGGGGCCACGGCTGCAGCGGGTGTAGGAGATCTCGTTTGCTCCCAGAGGCCCGGGGCTGGAGCAGAACACCAGGCCCGCCAAGGCTTAGATTCCTTCCAGGCTTCCGGAGCCGCATTCCTCTCTCCTTCGGGTCCTCATTAGATTGGGGAAGGAGTCCGCTACACGGAGATAGCAGATAGCCCCTAGCAATGCCACAAAGAAAACAAATACCAAACGGTAGCCATATTAATTCCTGTTCTTTAGTAATTAGGTCAAGGTCCTAAGAAGGAGCCCTTCAATTTTCATACAAAGTTTCAAAATACCGGTTTTCTCCGCTTTCCCCCTTGTGCTCACTCCAGCCACTTCGGGCAGAAGCTTAAGCAGAGAAGGTCTTAAGTGCAGCCACAGACGCAGGAACAGGGCGGCCAGAGAGAAAGGCTCCCTCACGACTCGGCGCTCATCGCCAGATGACTACCGTGGAAAAAGGGAATGAGGCCTGCCGGCGTCTTTCTCTCGTACATGCAAAACCCAGCCCGTAGGCTCCTCAGAAGAACGATGCTACGAAGTATGTACATTCTCATTGACCCCAACCCCAGAAAAAGCGGTGAGAGGTGGGATCTCCCTGAGAGCAATTCAGAACAGTTCTAAGATGTCATACTGCTGGCCTCACTAGAGAAGGAACATCAAGAGGCAATGACCAATTGCTTACACCCAACAAAAAGTTTATCTACACAGAGCCCCCTATACCCTGGGCACCCCTTACTGCCCCCCCACCCCGACTCCATCCTCTCCCCGGTGACCATCAGGTGGCCCTGCCAGGTGCCCAAGGACGGAACGGAGACTTCCCAAGGTTCAGAGCAAGTCCAGGGACCCAGAGAACTAACTGCTCCAGTGGGACAGGGTCCTAAGCTGCCACCCCCGACGTGGACCCGGTCCAATGTCAACAA